GATCTGATCGGCACGTGTTTTCTCTCATCACCGCAGGCAAAAGGGCAAACGGGATCATTAAATCCTGCAATCAACTGACTGCAATTCGACAACACCGTCTGTTCCAAGTGGCGTCTGTGTATATAGGCCAATTAAGTTTGTTTATAATTTTTCACTTGACACGTTAAATAAGAGAGGAGTCAGTTGCTTGATGAGGTGTGGCCAAACGAAGCGTCCGAAGATTGAGAGAGAGCGGCTCAGCGAAAAACAAAACATGTTTTCGGCAGAAACCACGCGATCAGTGTTGGCACCGTTCCACAAAAGGCGCGCGTTCCCGATAACGATTAATTTGGATAGCGTGAGTGCACTCGTTGTATGTGCGCGTAATTTTATTCACTGACATTTTTATTTATTTTTATTTATTTACAATACTGCTAGCCCTTGCGGGCTGTAGCAGGGGTGGGAGGTGAACAGGTTAACAATACACAAACAATGTTAGGCAAAAAACAAGTCCAGCCGTCGTTGAAAATCCTGTGAGGATCTACATCCTGTAAGTACCTCGGGAGGAAGCGCATTCCAGTCAACAATAGATCGCACCAGAAACGAAAACTTAAATACATCCACCCGCGGTACATAAGCTTGGACAGAAAATGAGTGATTGGTACGAGCCGATACTCGTCCTGGGGGGCGCAGGTATACACTGGGATCCAGCTTGTAGTTTTTATGATACAGGTCATAAATAAATTTTAAGCGAGCTATTTTTCTACGTGTAGCTAACGATTAAAGGTCAGCCCTAGCAAGCAAAAGTGATACAGACTGTGTTCTCATGTAATTTGAATAAATAACGATATTTATCTAATGACATCGCTCCATCGCCGGTGCTGTGCGTTTGTTGCAGAAACGTCTGTTCCTTTCGTCATAAGTCGTCATGCAACGCACCACATTTTACTGCTATACAGCGAGTTTCGTTCCAAAGAAAACGTTCGTCCTTTAGTCTATGCCAAGGCATTGCACCTGATGTGACTCTTCGCATGTGTAACTAGCAATTTAGGCAAACAATGAATTGAGAACAGGTGGTATTCGAGGAACACAAAAAATGTGTTTTTCCACATGTACTCAGATACTTGACTGGGACGCCGCCCAAAATGACAAAATAAAACTTTTAACGCGTGATGTGCCAAGAATATAAAGAGTCAAACATTCGACCACTTCCTTTTATGACGACAAAAGTTAACATTACTGGTATTTCCATATTTATGTAAATGACCTAATTAGTATGATATATATTTAAATAAGCTTGCCCGTGTCACTAGCTAAAACAACTTATGTAGATGTAGATCCTAAACTCGTGACTCCCACCCACTCTGGGGGATCGAACAACGTATCAATCTAATCATCTCGTAATCATTCGTCGTCGTCCTTTCTTCACTGCACTCACTATTATTTCTATTCTTACAATGATCGTTTAAATATCGTAATATATATATATTTAAATGATTAAATAAATAATTTCTCTATCATGTTCCTCTAACACTGAAAATTTTCTAGAATCGCCAAGCTTTTCGTGCAGTGGGTGAATGCAATTATCTGAGTAGAAGCAGACGAACCAATGACAAGATGAATGTGAGAAAATGTTACTGTAACCTTAACTGCTGTATCAGTTATTCTCTCTCTTCTGCGCTGAAACTCAACTTTGTTGCCTGCTTCACGTGATTCGCCATTTCGTGTAAAATGTGAACATTTTAGCGCTGGTCATTTCACACCCCATCTTGTCACACTTGCAGCATCTTCAAGCAACAACTGAACTTAAAGGCGGTGTTCATTCGGGCTACCTGATCGATTCGTAGCCGTTTACAATAATATATAAATACGTGACAAACAGTTGCAAGACGGTGTCTCTCATAATCATATGGTGGTTTTGGGACGTTGAACCCCACATATCAATCAGTTGCGAGACAGACATTTAAATAAATATGTCCCAGGAGATATTGATGCTTACGTGTGACTCTGATCGCTCCTTTTCTCTTATTTGTCATCGCAATGTGGTCAGCAATCACGAACCTACAAACACACAGACTAACAATCACACCCTCAGTCTCTGCAGTGTACTGCGATAAAAAGTGGGCGACCCTTCACGTTTAAGAGCTGAATGCGATAGCAATATTAGTGCTAACTTCAGTGTATGAAATCTTTTCGAACGTGGCCTTAAGGCTGTGTGTGTGCCTTTTGTACAGTGAGTGACCTAGCTTAAAATGTCAAGTCACCATGATAAGCCTGACGCCCGATGGCAATGTACGTTTGTACCAAGCATTGTTACGGCAATATTTCATGTTGTATTGTGAAGCATGTGTGCAGGAGGCGTTATTTCCACAAGCAGAGGCGTCGTCGTGCCGGCCGGTTGAACGAGCCGGCTTCGATCCCCGCTATCACTCAGAATTTTTTTATTTTATTTTCATCTTTCTGAAGTTTTTGGTCATGCAAATATGATTATTTTTCGCTCACAACCAACGACACCGACGACGGAATATCTGCGAAACGAGCTCTTCAATGATATCGCGTCAAAAATGTTCGCACAGCGGGAAAGTCCACACAGTTCGCTTGAACGAAATATCCACACACGTAGACGAGAATGCCGGTTCATATAACAACAACGCGAGCGATGTACATGTTCCCGCATCTGATTCGATAACTTCGTGGTGTTTCGTATAAATTGTGCTGGTCCGCCACTCGGTGGTCGAGTGGTCATGGTGCCCAAAGCGAAGGTCGCTGGATGAAGCCGAAATCACTTCGATTAAGGTTAAAGAACACCAGTTAAAATTCACGGAGCCACGACGTGCCTCATAAACATATCGCGGCTTCGGGCCGTATATAATACCCAAATATAATATAATTCCGCTAATACGCTCTGAGCGATGTTTCACAAGTTACCATACTTGCCATGGGCCCAAAAATTTTGCTTATGGTCTATCCACACCACGTAGCTTTTTCCGACGGGGAGCGTCATAATATCTAGCATCACCCGTGCTGAGTTATGTCTTGTTCAGCACACGACCACAGTTAGCTTTTCTTCACGTCTAAAAACCAGGCTTATTATGAGGTACGCCGAGGACTCCTGGGAATTTCGAGCCACGCGGAGCAGCACACGGGTCTCCATCGAAACGCCGCGTCCGGTATCGAGCCCACGACCTTCCGGTCAGCGGCCGAGAACAGTGGCGGCCAAGAAAGAAAGCTCTCGGTGCAGGGGAACCTTCGCATAAGCGCCGTTCCAGACGACCACTGGGTGGCGTGGAATGCATCTGGCGACGACGAGCAGCGCGCCGCGAAACTTTATAAGGTGCGCTCGGGAAGCTTGACGAGCCGCCAGGAAGGACTCTGACACCGTCCTCCTCGGCCGTTAGGTTATTGGGCAACCGCGCGGGCGATCATCGCTGTCTGTAAAGCAAGGAGAGCAAGAAAAGGTGCTGCACTCGAGCTGCGCAGAGCGCAAAAGAAAAGCCAGTGTTTACCAGAGCCCATCGAGATTTTCGGACGGTCGTGTCTCCCTTATTTTTAGAGCGCTCCCTGCTCGACGGCACAGTTTCGCCGCCGTTGGGACCCCGCGTGTGCAGAGCCTGCAGGCATTCCTTTTAGAATGGCGCCTCGCTCTCGGACCACGTTTCGCTGCACTGGCTTTTGCGACGCCTCCTCATGGAAGGCACGGTGAAACTGTCGATGAAGCTCAAGGGCGCCGGTTCTATTGCCGGCAACCGCATTTGTGAAATGGGCCGAAGCACGACGAACGTTAAAGTACACTGCAGCTGGTCAAAATCAATACGGGGTCCGCACCATGAAGGCCTTCTGCATAATAACATCGTAATTTCGACCAGTAAAACGCCAGAAATCGGTGCTATTACCGCAAAACGTAGTGCGCTGGGTATGCGGCGAATTGATGCCGGCACGTCGCATTTTACTAAAGCAAATAGATAAAATAACTGGCTGCTAAGAAACTTGTGGAGGAGCTATAGTGTTGACTGCGTAAAGTGGCTCATCGTATCCGTATGTCGTTTAAAGTGCACTGTATCTAACTAACGGTTCACCATAAGCCGCTGTAGAAAAACAAAGTGTCTCTTTTTAGAACAAGAAAAATAGCTTGGTAGAAATTAAAGAAAGCTCAATCGCATTCGTCTGTTTTCAGTTTTTCGCTTCTTAGAGATTAGCCTGATATCCTTCAGGAGGCTCGACTTTATGAGAATCCTTTTGATGAAACGCAATTTACAGAAGCTTAACAGAACACGAGGTGCAAAACTTACGATAAAATTATGGGCACTTATAAAAAACTGCAATGCTATTATGCTCATCCCGTAATATTGGGCCTTCCAGTTTTATTTTGTTCGACCACAATAATAAATTACTGGCTACAATCAAGTTGTACGAGGAGCAATAAAATGCGTCACCGGCGTGCAAATTGTCAATTTGGTTGATTGGGTGAGTTGGTGATACATGACTGTTTCGAAGTAGTGCGCTCTTATTTCGAAACGGCGCGCAAAGTTGAACTCTCGTTCTTCTACAAATTTCCCTCCTTGCGGAAGAAGCGATTGGTCGCAATACGACGATTCGATATTGGCCTGCAGTGCACGAACAGATGTTGAGAACCAAAGACAAATATGCAATGTAGACTATAAGCAAACGGTTTGTAAGAATGAGTCTAATGCAGGCATGAATAAAATCCTGCGCAAGGTTCCGGCAAAGGGCAGCTTGTCGAAACAAACAAACAAACAGACAAGCTGGACCTCCTAGGAGTTGCAGGCGACAACGACACGTCTACGGATGGTTCTCGTGTTGGCGTTCAAGCGTGATGACCTTCTTCCAACGGTGGCTGCTCGGTAAATACCGCGTAAGTCTGTTCCAGTGATGGAGAACTAAGCGGCGCTAATTTCGACAACGTGGTGACGGCAACTGACTGAACCAAGATTCGCCGGAGCTGTGGACGGTGCAGGTGAGCCGTCCACGATGTAAGCGAGAAAAAAAAAAATGCCACTCACAGAAAAAGACGGCGAGGTATTCCTCGGTCTGCAGAAGGCTCTCGAGCTGTTTCCCGCTCACGTCTTCGATGACGTCGGAGTCTGCCTGCTCCGCTTTCTTGGCCCCGCTCGAGAGTTGCGGGAGGAGCAAGAGCGCCAGGCTCAGGAGCACGCGCCCAGCCATGTTCCCGCGCGCGACTGCCGAGCCGCGACGACTCAGCTCCCTCCTCCGCCACGCCGCCAGGTGCCGCCGAACCCCGGAGGAGCGACCGCCGTGCCAGCCCGCCGCTGTCCCGCGTTATTTTCCATAGGGTGCGACTAATCCGGAGCCCGCTCACTCATCAAGCACATTTTGCCCCTTTGAAATCGAAAATTTTATTTCAGAAAAAAGAAGTGCAATTTGTGAAAGGGACCGGCGAAAAAACATAAAGGCGTGACAAGGTGGCTGCCCCCTGTAAACCCAAAATTGCACCAGAACGACACATTGCTGAGTGTAAAATTAAACAGTCAACAAGAAAAAAAAAAGCACGAAGGAGAATTGCTACATGCAAGCCACATATGTAAAAAAAAATGTGACAGTAGATTACGCAATGACATCAATGAATACTTCTTATGACTATCAAATGAAACGAAGTAAAAAAAAACATAACCACACGTGAACGTAATTTACATTTTTCTCGCACTAGTAAATTACAGTTTCACAACTTCCGCTGTTACTGCGAGAAGATGAACAGCAAGTCAGAAAAAGGAAATTCGCCTGGAGACGCCACCTTCAAATTATCGCTAAAAGTTACGTCGTAGATTTTTACGGAGTCTGCTAGATCAACAGTACTGTGTTTCAAGGAGCCTAAAGTTTTAAGATGGCAAGTTCCAAAAAATTCATCGAATCAGGTCGGTCAAATTACGCAAAAGGGCTTTGAAATTCATTGCGCCCCGAGCCTATCACAAGCCCTCGATCAAGTATACGGCGCGAAATTCAAAACTGAAACGTTTACCTTTAACCTATGGTGAACTTAGTGCCAATAAGGTCCTGAAAGACTAACCTATACTAATTTAATGTTTCACATTAAGGTTTACTACATGACAGCATTAAAGAAACCTTCGGCGTGCGTTCGCTCTTTTAGTGAGAGACGGAACAGCATTTCGTGAAAGAGCAAATAAGTAGTTTATGTTGACTGCTCAAATAGCAGTCCAGAAACCTCATAAGGCTATTTTTATGCCAAGGAAGTTCTTATTCTGAAATGAAATCACGTTTCAGTAATCCACATGGCGTTAGCGCACTTCAAATCACACGCCTTAAAGGGTACCTCCTGACGTTGCAGTTGCCCTGCCCAACGTCGCCCACCTATACTGAGCGGCTGCCGACACTATAACAGCAGTAGAGCGAAAGTAGCGAAAGACACAGCAGCAACAACGACCATTGAACATTTTACTGGTTGTTTGGTTTAACTGGGCCCGGCTAGGTGGAGACACTTGTTCAGCCTAACCTACGAAACGAAAACGGAACCTTTGATTCTCTCGCGTCATTCCCCCCTAATAACGCCAGGCGGTTCTTTTTTTATAATAATAAAAAATAAACGGACAAGCATGATTTTATTAGGTGTTATAATGCACGGAAGGTTATTTTTTTTTTACCGCACTGACGTCGGCGGTGTCGTCTACACCCCCGCTGCGAATGCTCGAATCTCGTGCCAACTGTCACTCCCCCCCCTCTCTCTCTCACCTCGCAAGGCTGACGCAGGCAGAGTCTGCTAGTAAAAACCATGGAGGAAGGAAAATACTTAGAAGAGGCCCTGATGTCACTCGTTGTGAAGCCGGAAGTCGGCCATATTGACTGGGCAAATTCTTCTCTCTTGTTTACATCTGAATGTAAAACGGAAGGCACGACTTTTTCTCCGGCTCGGAAAGCACGTGGGCTGCGCAGCGCGCGTGTCGTGACGATGCGAAACTAATGGAACTGGGCTCAACACTCTGGGCCAGCGCGACATCTTCGGCGAAATCATTTCGTCTGAGTATTAACAGCGTGTGACGGCTCGCCGCCAAAGAAGCAAGTACAAGATAACGTGCGCTAAATGCACAGACAACGGCAATTGTTTTCATGTCATTAATTCAGCAACTGTACAAACATACGATCAGTCGTGCGCTTTCTACGGTTGCATTCCGACACGAGGCCGACACAGCGCCCGGCCATTGTGTCCGAGTTGCGCGTGAAACTCACCGGCGTCAGCATTCTGCAACCGTGGTGACTTTGAGCACGGTGCAAGCTACACTTGAACGCGGTTACTCTAACGTTGAGATTACAATAATGGGGGCGAGTATAACAAGCGGAACAGAAAAGTTGTTTTATTACGCAAATGCAAGTTGTTACTGTACACGTGCCGACCACGAAACTACGTATGTGCACACGGTCCTCGCAGCGTCTTGCTGGACACAACAGTTTCATCCATTGCCACAAGCAAGAGCACTGCCCAACCGTCCCTGACCTGCAAGGCGTTCGTTGTCGTTCCGCTTCGTCATGGTGCCCAATGCAATTTTGCCGAACACTTCTAATTCTTCATCCGCGTCATCCGCCGCACGACACACGGATATGCGCTCATTCTACGCACTGTTCAGGTCCCGTGTTCGACGAAAGGTTTTGTAAACGTTGCTAAGAGTAAAGTTACTGCCAGAAGAACACTGCGTAACCAATAACGCGGCGCAGAGCACGGATATTGTCCGCCACGGCTCAGCATGAGACCTGCGGAGACACACATGCCGCCGCCAGCCGCGGTACAGTGTACACTTCTAGTACACTCTTGCCGCGGCCACTCACTGCTAGACCAGCTACACTGCGCAACACGTTACCAAAGCAACGCCGCCATTGTGTCCAGTCAATATGGCCGCCATGATGTCATTTCCTCCACACTTGTCTCGTAGCGCGTCGGCTGGGCATGGCCTCTCCTATCTTTTCTTCCTCCGTGGTAAAAACCGACTACTGCACAACCGTTCACTGGCCACCTCGTATATGTAGGCACTGAATCGAGCGTTTCGAATTTAGTCGAGGGCGTCTTTACTTGGCTTTCGCCTGACTTGACGCTTCGCTTGACTCGAGTAAATGCGATGGAAGCAACAGTACTTTCAACTAGTAGTGGGGCACAACCCAACGTCAGCTTCCCACCACTCGTTGAAGATAACACTTCCCCTCAATAATTCAATAATTAAGAATAATAAATACAAAATAACAGTTAAGCATTTTCAAACTATACCTAATTACGCAACACTCATGCGGTACCTCCACCACTCTGCGACGCATTTTCGAGTTCGACCGTGAGAAGATGTGAATGGCTTAATTTTTCTTTTGCATATCACGTTAGTTTAAGTCTTGTAGACTTTATCTAGAATATATATATATTCTTCATCAATATGGAAAATGGTCTCCGAATATGCCCTGTCCAACTTGTCGGAGCACACCAGCTCATTTCCGCTTGCGCCAAACAATTTGAAAATTGCGCTTCTCCTCTAAAGGATAATCATAGCGGTGAAGCTCACTTCTGAGGCAGTAGCGACGTAGCCTATAGTGCCGTGTATACAGGCTGTCCCAAATATCAAAAAGTTGTCGGTTGTTACAGAAGTTCCTTTCGGCACTGTGGAAGCTATACAGGCGCCTCAGCCAATATGAAAGGCGCTTAGCCCCTCCACGTGTATTCATTCGCACCGTGTCGTCTGCCCACCGTATTCACGGCGTCTGCTTAAAGAATTGTACTTATTGCGGCTAGTTTATTTACTTAAAAATGCAGTAAAAGCGTTAAGCGAGCAACTGCATCGGGAACGTGAATAAGAGGGAATTTTTCGCTCTGTTGAAGATCGGTAGACTCATGCAGGCGGATAACTTCACTTATAGGCTGTTTCTCTCCGACGCTGTTTGTGGCTCTCGTATCTGTTTCTCCGTTGACGCGTTCCTTCGCGTCTCCCGCTTCAATGTTCTTTTTCTCTCTTTTTTTTTTGTTTCCGCCGAAGGAGGACTACGTTTCGCTGAACAAGCGTTTGTCTCTGTTACACCCCGTAGCTTTGGTAGTGCTGAACCAAAGTGCTCCCACTATACTGCAGTAATCGACTAACCTTATCGTTAATGAGGTTAAGTGAATTAGTCCACATTATTATGCTAACTCGACAAGTACTCCTATAATTAGTAAAATGTCAATGAGGCATACTTAGACATTGTCAAATTATATCTAACTGTGCTATTTTCAGCAACGTCCTAATTCAGTGCTCACTTTATTCTGGCAGCTGATAAAGAAAGCACGTGAAATATGATGAATAACACGTGACTATGTTCCCACTCGCAAAAGGTGGTATCGTAGTCCTGACTTGCTAGTCCACAGTGTTCCTGTTTGAAGGCGCTGTTTTCGGATGCGGGGTGCAATCTGGACACATGTCATTTTTTTTTTTTTAGATTTCGCGGGCTTTCTTTATTAGCCATCCTTCCGTTCCTTCACACAGAAAAGACGAGCGCGCAATTAGTACGTTGTTGAATATAGCGCAGTTATACGTTTATTAAAGCAAAAGCTGTTATGAGATCACAACTCGGGCCTCGCGCAGTGCCGTAGTTGTCCGCCATCGCCGCCAGTGTCCGTAATCACTTCGCGCGAAATTAGAAAAAATGTGACCTAGCATTAATTCCTCAGTGGGGCTCGAACCCATTTCTGCTGGGTGCCGGCTCAGTATTCTACCATTGAGCTATGTGGTAGCTGGTGCCTTGTTTGCAAACTTGCCTTAGGCAGGCTCGATGTCGGAAAAGCAATCGCTTTACTACGACTTATAAAGCGTTTTAAAACAGCGAAAGAACAACCAGGCGTCACATAATGCGAATAGCGTAACGAGTGGGTCGTCCAACGCTCCAACCCAATATAGAAGCTTGTTCTTGTTCATCTATTAACTGTGGGGCCTACCCACTTCAGCCAAAATTCCCCATCGTCGTCAGTTACTGCATGAACAATTGGCACGAAATTCCTTGCCAGTGTCAGGCTTCTCAGAAGAATGACGAAAAATAGCATCGCGAATGCCGGCCTACAGCCCTATAATTTTTATTATTAATGCCGTAGTGGGTATCAAGCAAGTGTGCTTGCAGCATACCCAATGAGTGTTTCGCAAAGGCTTTGAAAGGCCGCTCTTCTAGCTTTCGCTGTGACTGTGCTACACCTTTCTGGCGTTTTTGGGCACGTGTGCCTCATTGACATTTTAATGATTAGGTGAGCTCTTGTCCAATTAGAAGTACAACTAGGATTAATTATCTAAACCTTGTTAACAAAAAATAGTCGTTGTTGTTAGCGTGCACTATATGCGCCAAGCCGTTAAGGTTCGATGTTCTTCTTGTACAGCGTGATAGAGTGAATAACCAGTATATAGGCGCACCGAAAAGCAGCATATATAAAGCTCTGTGACTGCTGCCCTGTTCTCCTATCTGCCGGTGAAGTGAAATATGATAGTTGACGCTGGAGATGCGCCTTGCATGTTGGTTGTTCGTGAGTGGGGCCACGCCTCGAGAGAGTGTCGCACTCAAGTTCAACTCATCAGATCAGCAAGAATTTGTGTAAATGTTAGAAAAAAAAGTTTTGCGTACTCGGCCAACCAGACGTTCCGTGCACGTCAGTGGTATGACGTTAATCACACAACTTGCATCAATACACATGTTGATGGTGGCCCTAACAGCGTGTCGGTTTCTATCATTAAATGAAATTTCGCTAATATATAAAAACTGATTACTATTTTGACTGTAGGTAAAAATGACTGTGCCTTTTCTTTTCCGCAACTAGTACTACACTATCCTGCACATATTGAAGCTTGTGAATATTTTATTCTGCGTTGCTGTAGCTTCAAGTCCAAAGAGCGTTTGACTTTTGCATAGTATTACCGCTAACATACGCGTCAGCTCGATTACTGACAATTTTCTCTTCCCTTCCGTTACCTCTCTCTCATATATATATATATATATATATATATATATATATATATATATATATATATATATATATATATATATATATATATATATATATATATATATATATATATATATGTATATATATATTCTCCCCCACTGCAGGGTAGCAGATCAGTCTTGTGCCTGGTTAACCTCTCTTGTTGTTCTTCCTTCCTTTCTAGAGCGTTGTTTTTGTTATGTTATTAATGTTACGCCGCGGCAATGCAGCGGTTTCGGTGCTCGGCTGCTGAACCGGAACTCGCGGGTTCATTCACGTTCGCGGCGGTTCCATTTCGATGGAGACGAAGCGACATAGGTCCGTCTACTCCGCGCTGTCAGATGACCAACATTTCCGGATACCACGGCTTCCCTCGTAGAGGTTTTAGGACGTAAAGTCTTAGTGTGATTAACTTGTCAACTATAAGGGTTTTAAGGTAATACTTTATGGTATTAGAGGCGCAGTATATGAGCACTTCGTTACACTCGTAGTATTTACAACATTGCTTGGAGGGTTTTCCTGCAAGTTCATGTAAATGGGCTTATATAAACAATTTAAGTGCAAATTTTTCTATCAACCGATGTGGGTGATTACAACGTCAAACAACCCCGAATCGTTTCCCTCAGCATTAGTCGTCAGCTGTTTATGATTGGTCAAATCTTTCCACGAGTCGTGCACACAGCACCTGCTCGTAACGCGATGCATCGATTGAGTGAGGCGAAAATGATCAATCGTGCAAATAACAAAATAACAGTTATGCACGACTTCAAAAAAAAAAGAGAGAGAGAGAGAAAGAGAGAGAGAGAGATACAGTATTTTTAATGCCGCATAATTTTAGCCCTTGGTTCCTCGCCATTCGTGTAAGATTATTGGTGGGTCATTAAATCGCCCGCTTGTAACGCGACGTCAACAAATATCTTGCGGCGTTAAAATGATGCGTCCACAGTAAAGAGCGCAATGCTGACAAAGCTGAACTTTTAACTGCCAATAACTTTAGGAGCCCGGGCTGCAATGAGCAGCGCGGTGTAACGCTGGCGAAACCATGCGTAGCATAATGAGCGCGCCAAGGATAAGTCTTGTTCTTTGGGTGTCGAGTGCGAAGCACTTTTGGGGCTGTAGTCGCTCGGCATAAAACCACGTATGAAAGCAAGCGAGAAAGAAAGACAGAAAGGACATGAAAAGAGAGTTAAGTAAAGAAAACCGAAGAAGAAGCATGTCCAATTTTGGCACCCTATAGTGCGAAACTGCCCTCACTTTTTATTTTTGTTTTGGAATAGCCACACAGTGCATGTCTCATTTTGAACGTAATTCAAGAAATCCGCCCACCGATCGTGATTGGAAGCAGCTACCGTATAATAAGCAAAACGAAGCAGACAAACCTTTCTCCCAACCTGAGCTCTCATGCAGCACTTCTCCACACAGGGGCGTAGGCAGGATTTTTATCGGTGGTGGTGGGGGGGGGCACCACTTTTATCTTAAGAGACGGCCGGCCACGAAGATACATGTAGTCGAGTGTCATTTTGTGCTCTATACTTAACAAAGAAAAAAAATGGCAACATATCTACAGGGTGAATGATGGAGAGTGGGGCGAAACATCCGTCCGTCCATTCGTTCTTGCTTCCGCCCATCCATGCGTCCGTCTGTGTGACCGTCCATGCGTCCATCCGCCCGTCCGTGCGTGCTTCTGTTCATGCGTCCGCACGTCCATCCCAGCATTCGTCCATGCATCCACCCCTGCGTCCGTCCATGCGTCCATCCATCCGCACGTCCGTCCATGCATCTGTATGTGTGTCCGTTCGTTCATCTAGTCAACACTCCAAGTACCACCATATCGCATCTTTTCATCATATATTCCGCATTAGAGTTACTGTATATGCTACCTTTAGGTAGTTACCTAAAGGTAGCATATACAGTAACTCTATTCAACAACGATTTCTCACCACGTACCAGAATTTCCTTGACTTCTTTTACCTCCCTTTTCAGTGACCTCCCTTGCCTCCCTTTTCAGGGTTCATTTTGTGCCCACATGTTTCGACGGGATTTGAATGGCGTAGGCTACCCTTCCCAAGTGGCTCACCCCAGAACAAAGCCGAGTGTCAGGCAGGGGGAGTGCTTGTGCCCATTTTCCAGAAACCGGTGGGTATCCGGCGGCAGGGGGATGCCATATAGAAGCAATGCCATCCAGCGGACACTTCAAGGACTAAACGAGAGGTGGCACACTTTCTTACGGCTTGCGCTTCGGGTCTGCTTCCCACCTTTAACCACCTCAAGTTCATGGTATATACTAGTTCACTGTATTCATGGCACTGCGGCCCAACGCTCGCTAAACCTTTCTAAAATCAAGGAGGTTACGCCCTTAGAGTATAATGTAGCAACCCTTTCTTGTCAGATAGTGCTCAATGTACGTGCCAATGGCTGCTAATGCGGAATGAGAGACAAAAGAATTCAGCTTTTAGTTAACGCACACGCTGCGAATTTTTTATTGTTCAACAATGCACAGGAGAAATCTCCCACCAGCACCACCTTGCAGGTCAAAGCGTAAGACTGGTTACGCACTACTACGAGGGACGAACGGGTGCCGCTTTAAGGTGCTTCGCCACTAAAAAAAAAAATGTACATTAATTTCTTGCACCGTGAGTACACGTCGTAGTAATCTTACCGGCCTTAATTAATGGCAAGACGAGGACCATTTATTTAAACATTTATCAGCCAGCGAACGGTCGAGAGTGAAGCGAGCAATCAGAATAAAAGCATGAAAGAGTGCTCTAACATTAAGGAGCCCCTTGCGCAGTGGTAGCCTACAGTCTACCTCCACGTCGAGGCTGGAGCGGGACGCGCGAAATCTGCCCGCACCGCAGAGGTTGTGCATACAGTCAGGGTGCGCAAATGTGCACACAAGACAGCGCGAGGGCCGTCTTGACTTCTTTCTTGGATATGCGTCTGCACACCCGGTCCCTTTTAGAATGGATACCTGCCAACTAGCTCAGATCTTTCCTATTCCGAGCCCAAAGTGCGTGGTCGATCGTAAGACACAGAGAAGAAGCTTCACAGCAGAAGCGTACATGGACGTATACAGGAGGGTGCAAAAGGGGCACTTGCCCACCTCAAGCTGCACCAGCCCTATAGCTTGCCCCGTACCCAGGCTACACGAAAGCTCTTCCACTCCCCAGGTCACATTCAACATGGTTTTGCACCCACCAATACACAATCCTGCCAATTCCTATGGGAGGATAGGACAAATTTCATTACATAATTATAGCTAGCAACCACCTTTTTGCCCTCCCGGTAGGTATACGCCATTTCATGTGTTAATACCGTTTGGTTACCATACAGATGTCTTGCACGGCACTACAAAATGATGCAGTGAAACTACAAATCCTTCATAAAAATGCAACGAAGAAATACATGAGAACCCCGTACGTACCAAAAGCGGGATTCGATGCAAATTTGGTTTTGGATGTGGTAAGATTGTGCCGATAGCGTGCTTCAACGAAACAAAGATTTTTTTTGTTATACTGGAGAATTGACGAGAAATTGAAGTGCCTTACGGTAATCCAGCTTATCGAGACATTTCAAGACCTGGCAGCAGCGATCTATATAAATGGTCAAGTCAATGTTATATTATCAGATTTTGAGAAAGCTTTCGATCGTGTGAGTCACCAGAAATTACTACTTAAACTCAAACCAATACTTAAAAATGAGAAATTACTTCCGTAGATAGCTGCTCATTTTTCAATTGATGGTGCCAGCTCGAGTTCGGCCCTTGTGAAATTACGTGTGGTTAAGCTCAGGCAAAGAAAAATGAAACACATTCAGTTGGAAGTTTCTTTAGTTCCTTCAGGGGCTTTTTGGTGTTCGAGATCTGAAAGTACTTGTCACCTGAAACAGTTATGTTCTAGGAGACCAGGACACCTGACCAATCTGGTTCATCACAAGAGTGCAATCAATCACCTAGTCTTGTTCAGTACATACAGAAGATGCATAGCTTCTTCAACTTGTGTGGAAATGAATGGTCACAAAAAAAATCTTTATCACCATTTTTATTTCTCACAAAATCCGATCGTAAAAGACCAGCAAAATGACTAGAACAAAACTCAATGTCAGAACCATCACAGAGCAGACGATAGCCATTGTTGTTCAACAGTAAAATTTTTGGCGAGCAGATTTGGCTATATACTACTACATGTACTTGAATTATGTACTTGAATGTGTACCACAAGGGCAAAATTAAAAAAATCACAGAGAACATTTTCTTAGTTTTTTTTCTTTTACCACGTCTTCAACCTAGTAAGCATAACATCTTTCTCGACCAAGTATGGACATCAGGAATGTCACTCTTATTCAGAGGATGCTTTCCATTTGCGTGATCTTCTCAGTCTTTTCTTCGTTTCTCGCACAAGTGTCTGTTGACTGGTGTATACTGAAACAGGAAAGACATACTTTTATTCACTGCACATCTGTAAAGCATCAATGTGGCTAAAGTGTACATTCAGGTTAGATGTGCTCGACTGTGGTGCAAAACACACTTCATGAGAAAAGAAAGTGGCAAAAAGAAAAGAAGAAAATGAAGAAGCAACTACGAATTGTTTAGTGAAACTAACTTGAGGATCCCGCCGCCCGGTTCTTGGCCGATTCCCCTTTGTGGGCGAGTGCCAGTAAAGCAAAAGGCATCATCACTTCCGGAAAAGTAGAAATGTACAGAACAAAAAAAAAGACACTTTCTGCGCATGTGTGAAGAGCCAACACTTCACTTGGAATGATATTCATATGAGCTGCCACCTAGGAGACGAAGAAAATGAGGACGGGTTGTCTCCTGTTTGTGCCATCTTGGCTGCTGTTGCCCCGATCACTTTTATTGTGTAAATATTGTAAATACACCACAATTTGGTCGTCTTGCCGTAACAATATGGTCAAGATAACATGTTATCAAGAAAGGTCATTTCCAAGAAATACAAACTTATAGATGTGTCACGGACACAATCAGACTTTCTTTTTGACATAGCAGACTTCAAACAACTCTCTAGCAGTTTGTGTGTTACTTTAGCCGTGAGTCAATTTTTGTGCAAAGCATGTTACACAACTGCAGAAGTTGCAATGCGCGAAAAGATGCGCACATTCTTAATCACCTATGCTATAAGCATGCTCCCACAGTCTTCATTAATGCAAGGACCTGTTGCCCATATATAATTAATGTACTGGTTCTTACCTTCATTGTACTTGTAAGCATTCAAAGAACAGGTGATAGAGTTTGCTTGACTTGATGACGATAGTTGTCCCCGATAAGTCATTGAACCAGTCACACTCGGAAGGCGAATATCTAAATGTGAACCCTTCTCCGTAACAATCTGTGGTTAGAGAGATTGGATAAATATTATAGCATATGCAGCCTGCATGTGTTGAACAAATAACTGCATAGGCAAGCTAACAATGAAATGTTGAGCATACAGTAACAGCTGAGCTGTAGAAAAAGGGCGCCTTTTTGAGCATGTGTCTGGCAACTAGGCTTCTACGAATAGTGAATTTTATGTTCGATGTGAATTCGAAGCGAATAGTGATTTTGGTCAAATTCGAATGTAAAATATATGATGTATAAAGAAAAATGGGCTCATTTATCATGACCAAATTGACCAGTACAATATTATTTTTGAAGACGACCTCTATGCTGGAGCTTTCTTTATTTTTCTTCATTCAAGGAAAGTCGAAACAACTTTGAGAAGTAGTAGAATTTGACTGTCAGTAGGATGCAAGTGATAACCTGTAAAATATGTAACATTATTCTACAGTTAGAGTGTATAAGCTAGCAAAACAAGCTTTAAGGCTTTAAAAATGATCAATCGATTTGAGGATAATATGTTCATTTAAAGGGACCCTGCAACAGCTTTTCAAGTAGCCATGGAATGGATTCACTAAAGAAGCTTTTTGCCTTATGAATTAATCACCGCAAAGATTCCCAACATGCGCTGCAATTGCATTCTCTCTTTTCGACCCGACGAAAGCCCTTGAAGCAAAGCCGGGAGAGATGGCATAAGGAAATAAAATACGTCACGTGCATGTCGTTACCTTGAGCACTCTCTTTCTTTTTTTTTCTTTGAATACACGACTTTTCAGTGCAATTGCGTATGTACGCGTGGACATGTCCCGGCCACCCACAGCGACCCCAGTAACGACCGAGCGCCGCATGCTCAAATCAGCCAATGGCTGTGACGAGCGATTTTTGACATTGTGGCATCATCTGCCAAGAGAAGAGAGCAATTTTCATCAAACTTTGAGAATTTATTGTGAATTCCAGGTCGCATGCTGTGCTATATTATTTAGCTCGCGCGTTTTCGGTAGCCTCGACTACCGATTGGCAGCGTTTGGTGACCATGCAGGGCCCCTTCAAATTTGAATTAGAGCTTCGCGACAAAGCGAAATTCCCCTGGTTAGGTGCTTTCATGGCTTAACACCGCTATACTGCAGTGAAACCACCTTTATGGGCGGTTACATGCGGTTTAGTATACACTTACTCGTTCATGTCAAATACTTCGAAATATTCAATAATTTAAATTCGAATCGAAGTAAATTCGAATACTCTCTATTCGTTCGAATATTTGAAGCATTCGAATATTTGCACAAGCCTACTGGCAAAGGTGATTCTCACGACTAGATAAGGTTTTTCAAAAGGCAATAATGAAATTGACATTTCGCTTTTCAGAGCACAAGGAAATGATACTTAAAAGGAGCCATAAGCGTTTTAGAGCCGGAAAAAAATTCTCGTTCAAAACAGCAATTGGTTTTTAGGGGCAAAGCTCCTAAGGTCAAGGCTTGTCCAGTAGTGGTGTTGTGCCGAGGTTGAAGATTCAATGCGCGATGTTCAATTTGAATAGGCATGGTAATGAGAGTTGAAACGCATGGCGAATCTCTGCAACTCCACTATATGTGATGGGCTCTAACAAATTTTGTGGCAGTCAATTCATGAAACAATAAGCTTTTTTTCGCAATGCCATCCACTGATTACTTCAAAAAGTGTTGCACGGCCTCTTTAAATAATAGAGTAACACTAATTGATGCACATTCTTGGTTAACATTGGTTGATAGTAAATCTTAAAATGTGAACACATTATTCAAGTGGGTAAAGCCAAAGTATATATAGTCAAATCCTGCTACAACGAAATTGACGGAATGCATGAAAAAATTTGTTCCCGTGGAATTTCCTTGCAGTGAAATTTCATCTGTAGACCACAAAATTTGGTAAGATCTGATGACTGTGGCTCGTCCTTTGGTCTCAGTAAGCACACGCATTGAAATCTCACCAACTCAGCCGTACCTAGCCGAACGCTCAGTGAACATATTTTCTTCGTTATAATTCAATCAAAATACTATATAAAAAATTTGGAGCTTAAGCTGGGGTAAGAATTATACAAAACTTTTGATGCACAAGTTGGCTTCATCGCATCGCTTTATAGCAATGCAAAGAAGGTGGCCTTTCGTCAATACGCAAGTAGTTTTCTTTTACTCTCAGGGTCTGCAGTCACGGGGGCCAGTTCTATGCAAGAGTGGGTTATATGTTAGAAAATACTATATTCAGACTACCCTAGGGGCGTGCCGAGTGCACAACTCCGCACTACCAATGCCATCGGTGAACGACAGGAAAGACGTAACGCTTCATGTCGTTTTATGGCTTTATTCGCTTCAATTTATGGCTGTATTAGCTGCGCATTTTCCAATCATATTTGCTATCGATGAACAAGACGATAGCGACCCCCGTTTCCTGCGCGGCAGTTGCGGCAAACAGTAGTTTCATTAGCAATCTGTGTGCGCTGAGCTGGCTGTCTGCGTGACTTAAGAACTACATTGTTGCTACCTTTGTTTCCATCAATACGGCAAGAAATTTTCATTTAAACTGTGCACGTTGATTGCGTGCATACTTTTGTGGTCGGCCATGATTGTGTTCGACATGACCGTATTTGAGTCTGTAGCGGTTGCGACAGAATGCAGTTATGCTGGGACTAAGTGCGCGCTGCTCGTGTGTGCGCCTTCACGATGCGTTTTTGTCATTCACGATAGCAGAGCTAGTAACGATGAGCTGTCTTTTTGTATTGAGCTTTACATACAAAAAATATGGCGGGATTTCTTGAAGATCGACATTCTGCTGCAGCCCGCACATACATCAAATCCACCGGCAGCATCACGTGGTGGATGGGCGAGCTGTCGCCAAGCATATCAATGGCGATAAATTTAGCGGATTTTGCGTGTGGTGGCCGAAAGCATGTCACGGCTGTTGAGATACGGTCGTGCGCTCTGGATGTCACGAGCCGTCGAGAAATGGCCGAGTTTATAGCGTAATTTCGCGGCAATCTTAGGCAAGTTCCTTTTTCTTATGGGGTAGTACTCGTGAAAACTTCGTTAAGGCAGAAATATCTAGGAAAAGTATTCGCTGTGACGAGACATTTTTAACATTGTTTTTTATGGGTGGCTGACGGGAAATCGAAAATTATTCATTAAGATGGACATTGTGTTGTAGTGGACTTTGTTATAGTGGGAGTCTACTGATAATCGGGAGGGAACATATAATGATGCACCAAAGACTTGTCCTCTAAACAGCACTGCCACAATGGGTCAGTGGCTACAGCCTTTCAGTGTTAGGCTTGAGGTTCAATTTACAGCTACTATGACTGCATTTTGATGTAGAACTGATGCAAAGCTGCAGGTACTCAGATTTACGAACTAGAAGCAGCCAAATTTGAACCATGAGCTTTTTAAATGAGTGGAACCCCGATTATCGACTTTCAAGGGACCACACAGAAGCGTCGTATGATCCGGGTGTTGTATAATCAAAAAACTAAGATTATAGGTAGTTGCACTCAGCCTTGCCCCCCACCCACCCCCCAAGAAAAGGGTAAAGACAGCCTGAATAAGCCCACAGCATGACCTTGTGCCTCTGCAAGGAAGGTACATTAAATTATTCTTGCCAGCGGCAGCTAATGGCAGCAATACTTGGTTGAAAGAAGTGCAAGCGAGTATTTATTGTCAACCTTAAAAAAATCTAATCCAACGTGCATCTTTCAACCAATAAATAGAGCCCGAAAAATGCCTGCGCATGAGAACGAAACCGAACCCGCGTTGCCAACGGCCTCCCATCAGAAGAGTCAGACACAGTCATCACTATCACATAATAGCAATGAACCATGAATTTGCGTAGAATGCTCTCATGCGTTACTGAGCTGCGCACGTAATTCGTTGCCTTCTGAGGTGCAACTAGAGCTGTCCCGCTCTTATCATGAACGTTGACGTCAAGTGAAGGCTATTGTGCATGGTGAAAACAGCTGCGTCACGCCCTTATGCGTGCTCAAGCCTGTGACTGTGAGTGCGACAAAGGTGGGATATCATCTGTATGTCGACAAGTTTCCACAGATAGAAAATGTGAAAATCACAGCTTTTCGGCCGGCTGAAGCTGCTCTGTATGGATAGACTATGACTAGGTAACGAACCTGTATAAATAAGCACACTATCGAGGCATATATATAGAAGTGCATGAGCTTCCAGGAAAATAAATTTTCCATTCTAAAAAGACATCCTGTCTCACTCTCTACTTTTGCAATCATCAACCTAAAAGAGCGCAAGTTAACATTTTGCACTCATGAATATTTGGTCGACATTTGATTTTGACTCAAGGTGGTTCTTGCTTTTGGATGGAATCTGAAAGTCGCCGTGAGATGCGAATCGGCGTAAAACTGAGTCGTAAAACCACGGTTATTAATACGCTATTTCTAAGGGTAGTTTTTCGAGACCAAACTGATTTGTCGTAAAATGTGGGTCATCGCGATACCAGGGGACGTATAATTGAAGTTCCACTGTACAGCATTTCTACTTAATAGCCCAAGATTCGTTTTAGAAAATAAAATCGAATTAATCACTTGCTCAATTCTGTCACAACAAATACAAGTCAGCACCTGTAAAATGCCAATTTAAATCATGTTTAATCAAAGAGTATGAGGGTACATTACTCAAAGAGACATGCATAATGAAGTAGGCTGCCCAATGTACACAAATAACACCTGCCTTTTCATTCATAGCATACAGTTTGGAGGTGATGTCCCTAGCGATGAGCAGCGACACCACAGTAGCCAGCTGAGGTTCCTTGATGAGCAAGTACTCCAGGTTGGAACGTTGCCAGAACAGGTATCGGCAAGGAGTCACAGCCAGGATTGACACCTGCAGAGAAAAGGCAAGCTCCTTGGCACATTACAATGGCAAGTAGGACTTGGTGCATAATTTTGGCACCAAGCAGGGCAGAAAACACACGACAGAACACAAATTACTAGGCTTGTGCAAATAGTAAACTTTAGGTTCAACGCGAACAGTCATTTGGTTCGCATAGTTTCAAACCGAATTTGACTAGGATGCAGTATCACATATTCGAAAGAAAGATGAGCATATTTTATATATGTGTTTTTAATTGAAACAACGAATGTGCAAATGTCTTTTTTTTTTTTGTTCAAAGGAAGTAGAAGAAACTTTCAGTAGTAGCAGAATTTAACATTTGGAAGAATGCAAGTGATAACTTGTAAAAAATAATCTTGCACAGATAGTAAATTTCAGGTTTGAAGTGAATTCAAAGTGTATAGTGATTCGGTTCAAATAGTTTAGAATATAATTCAAATGGCATGTATATATCAGATAGTAATAAGAAAAAAGAGCATATTTGTCACGACTTAACTAACCTGCACCATATTTTCAAGAAAATGAAACAACGCCTGTGCAAATATTATTCTTTTTTTATTCAAGAGAAGAGGAAACAACTTTGAATAGTACTACCAGGTTTCGAATTTCAGTAAAGTGCAAGTGATTACCAGTAACATACGCCAAGTTTTAAAGTTTACTATACTTGGAGCATGTAGGCTGTTATAACATGCTTTTAGACTGAAAATGAAAGAATCGATGTGAAGGTGATACGTTCACTTAATCTTGAATTGTGGCTTTGTGACAATGCAAATTTTTCCTAGAAAGGTGTATTCACAAAACAGCATCTATGTGCTGCAGTGAAACCACCTTTACGCTAAGTTACATGCGGATTAACATATAACTAATTGTTCATTTTTAATACTCCGAAATTTCCAATATATTCGATTTGAGCAGAAGTGAATTCAAATACTATAATAGTCATTGAAATATTTGAAGTGCTCGGATATTCGCACAACCCTACAAATTAAGAGCGCTGATTGACGCTCAGTGCCATCGTTTGTTTTCCATCTGTTGTGTATTTCTCGCGCTGCAGTGTGACAGAAATACTCCTCGCATCTCTAAAAAAGAAAAGATTGCCAGCACCAGAGTATCAAAATAAAACAAAAACTTAAAAAATATATATACTTTTATCTGAACGAAAATGTAACTGAAACATTATCAATTATTTAGTTGAGTAGTGAAACCAAATATTTTTCAATCATTTTACGGTTCACAGAAAAACTTGGCAGTCCAGAGCTACCGAGGTCATTCAACGTGAGCAACAATCCAAATATCAGAATACAAACACCTCGGGCACGAATCACAAAGGGAAGATGTGCTGAAATCATGCGACAAATGAAATCAGTAGCAACGAGAGATGTTTATATCAACACAAGTGGACTTTTGAGCGCCTTTTATCGTATCAGCACGTGTGCGCTTTCACATGCGCACACAGCACCTTCGTTGTTACCAGAGTACACGCCCCCTTTTGCCTTCTCCCTACAGCAGAAAATTAACCACTCCCAATAAACAACTTTGTTCACTCTTCTGTTGCTATCCCCCTGTGTCATTCCGGCAGCCCAGATGTTGACACGTGGTGTCAGAAGTGGGATAGATTACCACTAGGCCATAAGCTGCGCAGTGTCTTAAGGATAGACTACCTCAAGCCACTAGAACCACTGCAATTATCCGGAGAGAGTGAAGACACTGCAAGTCATTCATACAACGGTTTGAGCTGTTTGTTAAAGCAACCTGCCCTGACAATCTGAGGAAGCAAAGACAGCGATCCTGCTGAGCATAGCTGGAGAAGAAGCAATAGAGGTGTACAACAACTTCTTGTTTGCTGAAGAAATGCACAAGCACGATTGCAGGACAGTATTCACAAAGTTTAAGGCATACTGCGTCTAAAATGAAAATGAAATCCACGAAAGGTATGTGTTCATAATAGGTCTGCAAGCGGAGGCGGAACCTTCCGAACATTTTCTATGAGATATCATTGCAACTTCTGTTCCTTGACAGATGGCATGGTGCATAATCAAATCGTGTTTGGCACAAATTCGCCATGACTGTGGGAGAAAATGCTCAGAAATAAAGGACTGAACTTGTAAAAAGTCATAAGTATGTGCAGCATGGCAGAGACAGCAGCTCATCAGGACAACGTTAGGAAAAAAGAAAAAGAAAGCCATGAGGTCAACACAGTATCGTCGAGAAGTACCCCCACATAGATGCAGATATTATCAGACGAAGGGAAAAACCAAGCCTTGCAACGAGAGTAAGGAACAATCAGAAGTCAACGCAACGACAAGACGTGGTCTTACAATGTCGAACTATTACCAGTGTGGCCGACCTCACACTCCAAAGCAGTGCTCGGCGTATGGCAAGAAGTGTCACCAGTGCAAAAGCCCAAACACTTTTCCTCATGCTACAATCCTAGAGCTGACATCAAGAGGACAACACCAAGTGGACAATGAGTTTGAGGTCTTGGATGTACTCGTAAGCAGTGTCGGTCATGACCGCGACTGGCTGGTTAATACCAAAGTAAGGCGTCAGGATGTAACATGCAAAGTTGACACCGGAGCCCAAGCAAATTTGTCTCCGTATTGCAACTTAAGTGTTGAAGCTTTAACCCAGTGGGGCTATCCTGCATTCCTATGGAGAAAGCATTATCAAGCAATGCGGAACATTTTCAACACCAGTAGCAATAAAGAAAAAGCAGTGCTCGGTTCTATTCTTCGTCATCCGAAAGGGTCACCCAGCCATCCTCGGCTTGGAATCCTATGGCCGCTTTGGTCTAATCAAAACCACCATCGAAAGTGTAACCACGAGCCCTGCAAGTGATGTGACTAAGTTTCCAAAAGCTGTTTCGCTGAACCAGATGCCTTCAGCGGAACTACAATGTTGTGCTTCACGACGATACGCTGTCCATCGTTCAGTCGGCACGAAAAGTGCCCCTCTCCCTCAAACAGCCACTTCGCACCGAGCTGACCAGGATGGAACAAGAAAGCATAATCAAGAAAGTCAGCTGCCCCATAGATTAGGCGAGTCCTTTAGTCATTGTAGGAAAAAAGGACAGTCGGCTCAGAATTTGTCTTGATCCTCAAAAAATGAATGAGAGCAGAAAAAGAAAACATTATCAAATGCCGCGATACGAAGACAATGAAGCTGAACTGGCAGGCGCAAATTTTTTTTTCTCACCTTGACGCAACAGCAGGGTTCCATAAAATTCCTCTGAATGACGAATTTTCCCAAGTTCTGCACTTTTTCCACACTATTCGGCAGGTACCGTTTCCTTCGGCTGCCCTTCAGCATAGCATCAGCCATCGAGGTATTCCAGAAAGCATTGAAATAAATATTTGATGGCCTGCCTGGTGTTTGGGTATATGTGGATGATGCACTTATATAGAGAACCACAAAAAAAGAGCCTGATCAGCACCTAGAAGTCACGTTGAAAGTGGCTATGACTGCGGGACTACACTAAAACCTCGTTATAACGAAGATGAAGGGGAGCCAATATTGTTTCGTTATATCCATTATTTCGTTACATCGATTATAACTTTGTGGCAATGTATGCTCAGATGGGCGCACACCTATAAGCATGCAAAGAAGTAAACCGCCTCGCGGCCCGATGTACCACTACGCGACCACGCGTGCGACGGAAAATAAACACAGCCGAACCTCATTAATTCGAACACGCTTAGTTCGAACTTCCGGTTGATTCGAACTCACGCTGAGGTCTTGTCAAAGCTACCTGTATTCCAACGGGTGAAAACGCCTTGTAATTCAAAGGCACAAGCACTTGCGACAGTTCATTCGAACATACCACGCTCCGAAAATGCTCTCAGCACCATGCCCGATCCCGCAGCGGCACCTCTCAATGCTAGGCGCAAAGAGAGAAAAGAAGAAGAGGAAAGAAAAGACTGTGGCGGATTGTCTCTCCCTCAAATGACGATCTGCCATGCGCCTGTGCTACGCTTCTCCCTTTTCCGCCTCTGCACGAAGAGACCCTTCTTCTTTCAAGACCACGTGCGGAGAGAGAGAAAAAAAAGAACGCTGTCGCGGAGAGTCCTTTCTCGGTGCAGAGGGTAGCAGTGGAGATGCAGTCGTTGCCGTCGTCTTTAAGGCGTGGAGAGAGAAATCGCTTTGCACTGCGGAGCCGCTTCTCGGTCATGTGACCCGCTGAGCACTTCCTCAATCCTCTCAGCTGACTGTGTGAGAAGGACGGCTCTCGGCCGCGCGTGGCGTGGCTGTAAGGTCGGCGTGGTAGTTTCGAAATAGCCGCGCTAAACGAGTGTCAAACTCTGCAGGAAATGACATACTTAACAAACTATGTTTTTTTAATAGACTATTTTATAGACTACTTTAGTTCGTTATATTCATTTACTGGTCCATCTTACTTCGTATGCACCGGTATGCGCAGACAACGGCTCACAGTTTGCCAGCCAGGAATTCACCCAATTCGCGATACGGTACGACTTTGAGCACATGACGCCACGATATCCATCCTCAAACGGATTAGCTGAGAAAAGCATCCAAGTTGTAAAAAGGATCCACAAAAAGACCACGCAAGCAAACAAAGATTTTTGGCTAGGCCTACTAAATTAACGTGCAAGCACTTTGGAAGATGGACGGTCTCCTGGCGAGTGACTCCAAAGAACATGCTTGCGCACCCTGCTTCCTGACTTTGCTCATCATCTAGAGGTTCGAGAAAAAAACATCGCCAGCACAGCCGAAGCCATCGACCACTACCAGCCCTTGAATGAGACAATGTCGTGCGACTGAGAGGAAAATCATGGTCCCAGAAAGCCACAGTAGCAGCACCAGTGGTTCCACAGTTCTTCTTCATTATAATGGAGAACAGGACAGTGTTGCAGCTAAACACACACCCCCTTCTGGCAAGAAAAAAAAGCCCACGTCCAGAGGTACTGCCAAATGACACTGACGACGAGCACGATGATGAGCAAGTTGCCTTAACGATGTCATCAGAGGCTGCTCCCGCACATGGAGCCCTCGGAAGAAGCCTGCCGCCCCTTGAACTTCGTAGATCCCAAAGACAGTCAAGACCACCCAAGTGGCTAGCATATGATGCTAATTTTAAACAAATAAATACATGGTGATTCAGCTTCAAAAACCTTCTTTGAGGAAGGGAGATGTATTGTATTGGCACGTGTGTGCTTTCATAGGGTATGCGCACACAGCACCTTTGTTGTTGTCAAAGCACACACCCCCTTTTGCCCTTTCCCTACACCAGTATACAAACCGCTGTCAGTAAACAACTTTGTTCACTCTTCTGTTGTTGTCCCGCTGTGTCACTTCGGCAGCCCAGATTCCAATACACGCCTGTCACGTCGGCCGGTATAGATTCTCGGTGCTGAAGTTTGTTTTATCAGAATAGCGGTCTTGCATGTCAAAGAGTCGGCACGTCATCGCTCGATGACGTGCTGCTTCTGAGGTCATGCCTCCCTAGACACAAAGCAGTGAGCCTGCTCAAAAAATATTGCAATTCACTTTTGAGAAAATAGTACTGTGGATGACTTAGACGGGTACCGGTTCGTGCTAGTTGGTAGGAATTCTTGGTACAGTCACTTGCGCTCTTCTGAAGAATATGGAAAGAATGTGTATTGCCCCTGTCCCACGTTCTTAAAAGAAGCATTATTGTTACTTCAACTTCAAATCTTGCATACAAATAAAAACCGTTACAAACAGTTACGAAGCACTTATTTATATTTATTTTTTTGTTCTGGAACAGAATCAGAACGAAACTTTTTGCAATGAAACACTACAAAAACTGAAACAGGAAACATTTCGTTTCATTACCCTGAGCAGCACAAACATAGAACAAGGAAAATAAAACACGAGTGTGGGTGTGGTGTTCTCGTGTTTCATTTTGTTTATACCATGTTTGAGCTGTAAATTCCTTTTTTGAAACATCAGACACTTCAGGGTACACTTCACAAACCAGTATACATACAGCCAGTTATGGCCGAGTTCTACAAGTGGGTCAGAAACATGTCTCAGGATGATTACGTATGCCAGTGAAAAGTTCTTACTTTCTCTTAGAAAGAAATTGCATCAGCTAAAGGTACCGATATCTTTGCTTAACCCAATCAAATTACTCATTTGTATGAACGATGATGTAAAAGAAGATACTTGATATTTTAATCACAAATGAGTGATCAACTGAGAATCTCGATTAGCACTTGCTAACTCACTGGAATGCTATAAAAGACAAACAAACACAAAATACTAACCTCAAGCATAAACTAGGAATGAAAAGCCCATCATTATAAGAGCATTGAGGAAGAGCTAAACAATGTGATAGCATTACCTTAAATTTGTCATCAACGCCAGACCGGGTAGACTCAAATTCAGGTGAATCCAAGAACTCACGGGGATGTATATAGTGTAAAAAATGATGATCTGTCAGTACACTGACCCTGAAAAATATAAAAAATGCAATTTTTGCAAAAGAAAATGTTGTGTATGCACCACAATGACAACTGAATGTATAATGCTTTACATCTAAGACCGAGGTGCTATGCAGTACAAATAAATGTCTTAGCAAAGGGGCAAGCATAATAAGCAGGGACAGAATTTCAGGCAAATTCCTATTTTCTTCCTTGAGTTCCTATCGTGCCATTCTGGTACATGAGCATGAATTAGAGGTTAAGGAGGGCTTGTTTTATAGTGCCTATAAATGCCTATTTTTCAAATTGGTGCTTACATGAACTTCATTTAACCTCAAATTTTGCTTTCACCTGCATTTGAATATTATTATTCATGTCCCCAGGCAAAACAGAGCTTTCAAACTCCTTAAGATGTGACCTATACAACATATCAGAAGTTCCTTTCAGCACAGTCAATGCAAGGAACAAAAGGTGCTTCGGTGCAGCACACAGGAGGATAAAGAACCATGATACTGAGTTCATTGTATAATCACTTGAAAAAATGGTTTACAACCACATTAACAGGGCCCAGAAACACATTTTCACGAAATGCGAAACCCTCGAAGAATTACACATCGTAAAAATTCTTTGAAAAGGGCATATCACGAATGGAGATGTCAAGAATGCAATATTTACTTTTAGCTGACCATAGTGTGAAGTTGGGCATGTTGGTCATGAATAGCTCATAACTTAGCGCAAAAATTTGACACAGGACACATGAAGGGGCAAGAAAGCACTCGTATTTGTCCCTTCTCTTGTCCTCTGTCAAATTTTTGGGTCACATGATCGGTCACTTTTAACATTCTTATTCCGCCTTAGCTCATTACTCTTTCATTGGAAATGGCAATACCGTGCCCATCATGGCCTTATTTTACGTTCCCTTGATTTCTTTCTTTATTGATATTGCTGTGCAATCCTTCCTCTTTGGTGCCTGACAGGTACTCCTGTGAACCTTTGTCACAGCAAAGCAGAGGTGATAACAACTTCTGGAGTACGATTGTGAGGCACACCATAGTGGGAGACTTGTATCAAGAGAGAGGGAGACGCGAGACGACATCGTGATGGCAGCTGATAGGGCCATGCCAACCTCCCCACTTTATTCGTAGGCTGAAGCGGAGCGGTGGCGGCTGCCAGCGTTCGACGTGCCAGACGCGTGAACTAGTTCTGTTCTGACTACCACGTGGCTCGCGTATCACAAGCCATGTGGCGCTCTTCTTCTTTTGCATTGCTGCTAGCAAAAACAGGCGCAACTACGCAACGCTACATCAGCTTTGCACGATCGGAGACATATTTGCAAAAGAAAGAGATGAACAGATATTATGTTTATGAACGACAATCCGTAGGGTGTCCGTTGGAAAGTCTCGAGCCATTAATACGAAAGGGCACAGGGTCATGAGGATTGTTCCGGTGGTCGGCACTGGGAGAAACGAAGTGGCCGAGGAAGAAGGCACCGGGCGTGTTTATAGACAAGCAGGTCCCACGATGGCTTGGTAGGTGCTTTCGTGAGTGCTCCAGGTAGCACGAGCGGATGCGGGTGTGAAAGGTGTCCGTAGAAGTACCGACTTGGCCGCTAACATTGGCGGCGGATTGGTGGTGCTTGTGTGGAAGTCAATGGCGGTGCAATGACACCTTTTGCATTCTATTATGGCCGGCGTATCGACATGAGTATACGAGTTGACTGACATAGAAACGCGCTCGAAAAGACCATGCGAAGAATGGCACGTGATCGGTCAGCGCGTCGGGCCAAGGTGAACGAGGCTTGCAATGTGTCAAAGGGAATGTTTGTATTCGAGTTAAACACTTGCTTGTTCGCGTCCCTCGTCGAGAACACGGCAGGAGGCACGTAATGGAACAGAGAAAGCGTGCATTCTGGAAGAGAGTCAGTCGGCATCCCTGGACTCGTAGAAGCCCCTTCATTAGTCTGCGCACGAGGGCTCGTGCGCAGGTCGATGTGGCTGATGGCTGCCTCTGTGGAAGGTGTGAACTGAATGGTGTGCTCTGCCATAGGCAAGTCAGGCACGTCGTAAGCAGGTGCATCAGTCATGATTGCAACATCTCACACGTTTGGCCATGTCTGGTGAGGGGTATGAAGTTCTGCTGCAGGATACATCGAAGCCGATGATAGCGGCAGCTAGCAGGACACATAGAGCGCTGACATAGATAGAAAGTTGCCTTCAGACATTGTCGATGGTGATGCCTTCACGATTGGGGGGTGCATAGCGGGCGTGACGATGTCCGGGGTCATGTAAGACTCCAGGGCATGCGGCAATGTAGCCATTGTGGAGCCTGATACATCAGATGGGTCGTGGACTGTGGAGGTCAGGGAAAATGTGCGGGAGTGGCTGAACGACCATCGGCCGAGCACTTCGAAAAAATGAACTTCATGGCGGACTGGTTGTTGGCAGCAGCAACATCTTAAAGAATCTCGTCGGGTCTGTGACCGGGCGCAAGAATCGCTGCGCTAGTGGCCGGACGAAAGGTGGAAGGAGGCGCTGAGGTAGTTAGGCCACAGTCAGTAGAGAGCTGCAGGCCGGAGGGTACCGCACACTGCGACGCATAAAAAATCTGGAAGTCACAGGTCCCCGGAAGCGGGCGGTACGAGAGGTCATAGCAGGCAAGCACTGCAGAGCAAAGGGCATCGTACGGCTGAGGGCTAGAGCTTGAAGTGGCAGCGAGATGATGCAGCTGTACCGGGAGGCATCGAAAAGGAAGGAATACATCAGCGGCTGGTCCGTGATGCCATTCACAGTGAGAACAACAACGAGCAGCATAGACCACACTTTGGGGTAGATTGAATGGAACCGCGGCACCGGCAGGCAGAGTCGCGAAAGCATGGCAGCCGATGACTCGTTGAAGGGCACGTTCTACGGGTCACCACTTGTGGCGAGAGCGAGAGAAATGTGAGACGACATCCTTAAGGCGGCCGACGTGGTTGTGCCAATCTCGCCACTTCATTCGTTGGCTGAAGCGGAGAGGCAGTGGCTGCCAGCGTTTGACACGCCAGGCGCATGAACTAGTTTTGTTCTGACTATCACGTGGCTTGCGCATCACGAGCCACGCGACACTGTTCTTCTTTTGCACGGCTGCTGGCAAGGACTGGCGCGACTGCGCCTCGCTACCGAATAATTCAGACCACATGGTGTTCATCAAGAGCACTACAATCAACACCCACAGGTGTTCTCAGCATTTCACACCACTGAAATATGACTGGTGTAGCCAGGAGTGGAACATGTGCCTTGAAGCTTAAGCAGCGCAAAATTTATTTGCTAAGCTACTAGGGCAAGTAGCAGTGGCAGAATGAATAGAATGAACCTGATCTCTCCTGCTTAACAAAAGATGCATGCACGCTAACTACTGGCATCTATGGGCTGTGCCTGGAGCGATGTCACTTCTAACATCGCCTAAAAAAAAACCCAGCAAGAACAACATAGTACAGAAATAGCAACAAAACAAAATAAATTGCACCTAAAAAAAGGTACCTTTGAAGCACTTCAGGGTTCCTTTGGATGGTCTCCATGATACTTCTTGAGCACGGTGCGAAAACAAAGCCTCAACTTTCTGCTGAGGCTCTGGGGAACATGCGAGCCAAACATGCAGCATGCATCTGAAATTTATATTTAATTCTTAATGTCATCTAAAAATCACTGCTACAAATAATGCCATATATCCTCAGTGCAAGGCCATTGATCAATTTCAGCAGCAAGTCATGATGCACACTGAGAAAGGGATGCATCCCCCAGTGTAGCTTCCCGCACGTTTAGTGGTACGAAAGAAAGTGCTTTAAGTATGTGACAAATCTCTACAACTCTACACCTACTTCACAGATTGCAATAAACTTTGTGGCATGTGAAGCATTATATGCCAACGCAGACTATTCTATCATAAATCATAGAAAAGTTGCAAGGCCCCTTTAAGAACAAAGCAATGTAATAAATTGCATGTTGTAAATTTACATGCACTTGTTACAACACCAATAAGTGACATATTTTATTACTAATACAGTGAATACTCACTTTCCAGCAATCAAGAGTCCCAAGCGATCAGTCTTTGTCAAGTTTTGCATGGCATAAGCTTCGCCAGCATGAAGGTTACATATTTGGGCATACTCCAAGCTCACCAATTTTTTGAACAGCAGTCGTGGTACCTGATAAAAAAGTACACTACTTGTCAAGTTTGTCTTCATGTAATGCATAATCAATCTCTTCCTATGACAAAAGATGCAAGCGCTTCATCAGGTGCTAGCCACAGTGTGCAGTACGAAAACTCACGTGACCTATCACAGAACGAGAAGTAAAACCAGGTTTCAAGATGGCATTAAACGCAGGAAATCTGTGTGGCAGTGAACGATTCCACCACAGAGCCATGCCAATGCTAGAAAGAGCTTTGGGAAAGGACATAGTAGTTAATTTTTTGCTCCTCGATTAGCTTGTACACTAGCTAAGGTAAGAAGGTGTTTGAAGTTTGGAATGGGTGCCCCTCGATGACTCGAGTGCTCGGTGGCAGCGCGAAGGAAGATCTGTATTCCAGTGAAGAGACACTTTACTGCAGCATTCAGGCGTCTGCCCGGGTCCAAGCTCGAACCTTCACTCTCCGATTTCACATTCAAACACCCTCTTTTCAACCCTCGGTTGAACAAAGGGTCTCCGCACAAGCCAATGACACGTGTGGGCTACCATCACCACCATCAATCGCAGAAACACTTTCATAACAGGCAACGGATTGGTAAAAACCACTTTACCGAATACAACACAAGAAGGGATACGTTCTCAGCGTGTCACACTCTCCCATGTCAGGTCGTGTATTGGCTGACCTCTGCCGGTAGCCGGTTTCACGCTCCAGCTCCGTCAGCTCTCTCATTCAACGTCGCCTCGTAGAATTTTAAGAGCAGTGAGTAGACTGTGAGGCCCTGTGCACTGAGTTGCTGACCAGGTGTGCATGTGACAGCGAGGCACAACGCCATCCGAACAACACTCAGTAATGACATATAGCGGGGGAGGACAAGCTCATCTGCATGCCGCAACTATGTCTCGGTCAGCCCAGTGGTCATGTCTCAACGACACACGTGTATGCCAAAAAATGACTTAGGACCAGACGACCCCGCTTGGCCTGATTCATGCTTCCGGGTAAGCTGTCCCCTTTTTGTTCCAAACTGGGGGCAACCTTGACGGCTCTGCCCGTGAACCGTGTAAACCATGGAGTCGCCTTGTTCCCATGCCTGGGTCTTCCACGTTCGCCCTCGCGGAACCGGTCAGCGTTGTTAGTTGATGGGTCAAGAGCTCAAACCGCGCTCTGCATCAGCTGCATTAGTTGCGCTACACACAACATGCCGCTAATGAGTGCCTCATACTAACTCCTCCCCTCTCAAGAGTGTTACTGGACACACTATGTTCAATGACGCGATGCAACAACAACAAAAATCACTCAAAATAAGTAACCCATTCTCGTGAAGCGATTTTCACTTCAATCTCGAAGGAAGAATTTTTCATGACATACTTGCCTCCTACAAACTGACTTGATGCAATTGTCATGTTGGGTGGGGAGTCACGTGAACAGACTTAATACGGCATGGCAGAAGCGTGGGACTGCACCAAGCATCGCACCTCGTGAAGAGTGTAAATGAGCAGGTGGTTCAGAGCTTCCCATCCATTACAAAGTGTTCAACCATGATTCACTGACAACGTGTGCAGCAGTACAGGTGCACACATTGCTTTAAATAGACATAGCGCATACTTCGCTACTTTCCGAGTGATGATGAATTACGGTTGAACACTTCAGAAGGCTTTCACGTTCAAGTCATCATAAAAAATTCCCGAGTTTTTTCAGAAATTATGTGCACAAAGAAAGAAATAACATTTTCCCACTAAGGCGCAATGACATCAAATGAAACATTAAATAACTGTAACTACTGAAAAATGAGTAAACAAAACAGTTCATACAATCAGAAATAAAAGTGGCATTTCGTGCTTTGGAGCTGCAACAAAAAAAATACAGTTTAAAGCAGAAATGTGCTTTTCTATAGCAGGAAATTCTCCATTTGAGGCATGGAACAAAGCATGGTTTCAAGTGACAGCCTATGTCTCATGTGCATTGTGCATGCAACCTATGTGACAGAGATAAATAAGACTGGGTAGTCTAAAAACATTTACATTCTTATTCATAACATAAAGTACCATTTAATGTTACTGAGGGACACAGAACTAACATGTCTAAGTAGCCCTCCAGGTTTTTATAATGCTTCTTTTTCATTATTAAAATGTTGATGTCAAGACACTCGAGCAAAACATTTTGTTAGATATGCGCGCAATAGTGCCGTCGTTTCTTATTCCCCTGCAGTCTAACTGAAGGTTTTGTCTTTGGACTAAAGTTAGCGCCACCTTTGTTATGCATCCTGGATCTCTATGTCCAGAAAAAAACATTGTTCCATGTCTGCTCCCAAGTGGGCCAGTCTTGTGTGCAACATGCTCCAACAGCTACAAAACATAAAAAGTTCATCGTCACATAGCAAAAGTTTGATATGAAGCAAAAATAGAAGTGACATGAATGTGCTACTGTAGCATTGCAAATAGAAATTGCAAAACTGCAATAGTTGTGTGAAAAACATAGATTGAGATGACAAGCTCGGCTCGGTGAGGTTTAGTAGAGGATTCAGTACTACTCAATTACAAACTGTGACAGAATTAGATGGCACAGATTCTCTCGTCTACTACAAGAATGCTTATGTACCAACCGCTTGAAGCTGCTGTATGCGAACTGCCAAATCTCAGAAAGCAACCAAACAAGTGCAATATTAAGCAGATAACTGCTCAGATCACTAATTGAGATAAGTGCACGAACGGAAAGATTGTGTGCCGCATCGAAGAAAATGAACCGTGGTTTTTTTCATTAGATGTGGATCTGTATTTTTATTTATTCACTAAAATCACAAAAAATGAATTTTGACACCCAATGTGGTGAAAAAGAGCAGATGCAGTAGAGTTCAATCGTGTGACCTTTTACTGGTGTACATAGTTAATGAGCTCTGAACCACAATACACATTTCTTTATTCTTATTTTGTTCTAACTCAAAATATGCAAATATGCCTTCGTTTGTGGTCAGCAGAACTGCCACCGATTGACGTGTGATCATGAACGTTGTTAGTGTAGTGGTACCTGCCAACAAGTTGGAGATGTACCAGAAGTGCCTGATTCACAAGGCGGTATGTAGGGTACAAAAACAAGCATTTGAAAAGCTTGTTCTACGTGCTTTTTGTATTCAAACATAGTTGAAGACGTCAAAATGAAAATTTTTAAGCACTGCTGCACTCACTCCTGTGAAAGCTGAGCATTGAGCGTAACGGACAATCTGATTGATGTTGGAATAGATTTGAGCATAAATGGACAGCACACAAGAAGAGAGGACGACTGTACGACTGTGTTGTTCATTTTTGCTCAGGTCTATTCCAGATTGAACCAACGCACCTTACAAAGCATTTCATGAGGGATATCGACATCCCTATCACTTTCTCTGTGATGCACAGGCTTTTCAGGAGGCGTCTCAGATCCAAAAGCGCTGCTTACAAGCTATGCATGCACTTTAGAAATCAACTGCAGCAGGTTTAAACACTACCTAGGTGGAGATTTACATAGCATTGAAAAAAACTGGGTCCAGAAAGTCCCTTTCTGAAACAGAATTTCCGATTATGTGCCCAAGATAGAAAATGCAAAGCACATTCTTGCAGAATGTGCAAAGCACATTCTTCAATGCACATTCTTCAAAGCACATTCTTCAAAGCACATTCTTCAATGAAGAATGTGCAAAGCACATTCTTCATTGCACTGCAATGAAGGCTGAGCTAGGATGGGAGTGTCTTTCTGACTGCCGCGAGAAGCAGAGATTAAAATTTCTTTACTGCATTTACTACAATAAAACTGGAATTAATAGAGAAATATACCTACACAACCCTCATTAGACTTCAAAACGTTTTGATCATAGTTGCAAAATTCGGAAATACCCAGCTAAAACGAACATGTATGCCAATTCATTTTTTCCTAGAACGATTAAACAGTGGAACAGGCTAACTGAAATGCAAGTACATAGTGGGAACGAAGGTATATTTTATTCACTGCTGTAAACCCGTGTTGTAACCTGAACGAAGATGTATTGATGTGTGAACAAAATTCTACTATGTGTGTGAACGAAAATGTTATTTATGTGTGAACAAAGTTGTATTGTGTGTGTGAATGGAGATGTACGTCATTTATTGATGTAACCCCCCTGCTATAACGCCTTCGGGTGCTGTGGGGTATCTGATGAATAAAGAAGCAAATAATGCATAGTGAAACAACATCTGTAACTGATGCTTTCAATACTGTCAGCAGCCCATAATGAAGTGCACTCACTGAAAGCCTCCTTGGTAGCACACACAGTCATGATGCCCTTTATTCTTTTAATCCATGAAGTAGATTCCTGCAGGTTTCCATAATTTCTGGCACTGTAGTGAGCAATGTCTCATACAAATAACAAACACATTAGTGACAGTGACTACTGTGTCACTGCACTAGAGTTTCTGCCACCAAAAGTGCGAATCCAGAGCTGTAAGGAAGCTTGATTGGTCGAACCCTCTTACAATGCACAAGTGGCATATTAGGAACCTCAACAAAACAAGGTTAGTCAGGATGCTTGTCTGTGATAGTATGCAGATCTTGGGGTACCCTCACTGTTAGCCTCTAGTGCATTTACGCTTGGTGAGCAAGGGTGTCAGCGTTCCAATTTCCGCAAGTGCTGACGTGCAATGAAAGCCATTGAAAGTCTTGATGTTATACTGTGTAGTTTGGTTCTGAGTAAAGACCATTATATGGGCAAACATCACACTTGCAGTTCCAACATATCCAAGCCACTGCAGTACAAGACATGAGTTGTGACATACATACTTGCAGAGGCTGGAACATGAGGACATATATATCTTCCAATTCCCTTGGAAACTTGACCTGCCTCATGGTGTAGAGAAGGAACATGGTTTGTGCCATGTTGAGTATCATGAAACTGAAGCTCCAAGAGAACATGTCTGGAGCACATATAACGTTCCAAGCCCATGTGGAATTGAGCAGAAAGCCTGGGGAAATGAGAGTTTTGTCGTAAGCATCGCACCAGCCACTGAAATATTCTTTCGACATGGCCCTCGTAAGAATGATGATTCCTACAAGGCTCATGTTGACTACTATTGAGTAATATTCCGTCTCAAGTCTGGATATGACCGCACAAATTAAGCTCTTCTAAACTGAAAGATTCATGAATAGACCTCAATCACCCGCACAATGACATTGAGATTACAATTTAGTCACCTTCAGTGTCTAAGCAAACTGCGAACAGATAACAAACTGTTGCAAAATGAATGCTGGCCTTGTCCATCTTCCGACGTCAGCGGACGGTTGCTACATTTTACATCTCATAAAACTGAAAGGTCTCATACTAAAGGAAACTTGGTTCTGTAAAACGCTAAAAACAAGGTCTATTTACACTCTGCCTCAGCACAAAATTAACCATTGTGATACAAAAAACACTTTAAGTAAGATGGTTCTTTGAGGTGTCTGGTCTCTTCGTGAATAAATGCACTGATGTTGATGCTGTGAATGATGCAAACCTGACTTTGGCACATCTCAGCATTCCCATATATATATATATATATATAGCAATGCCAATTTTCCATCTGTGCAATGAATATTTTTCAAATCTATGCGATATGGGAATGTAAGAGAACAGATTTTTGGGCTAGTTGGTTAATTACGATCAATGAAGCCACAGTGCTGATAAGACAGGGACCACAGAAAGACCAAAACAGCGCACATTCTGTCCTCTTTCTGTGGTCGCTGTCTAATCAGTGCTACGGCTTCATAGGCTCTAGCGATGGCCAGCTGCAGAAGCCAGATGAAAGCAGCCCATAATGAAGTGCACTCACACAGTCATGAACCCTTTATGCTTTATTCCATTGAGAGCTGTAGAACCCTCATTAAATGCTTCCTGAAGGTTAAACAAAATGGCAGTCAACCGATCACCACGAAAGATGTATATTTTTTCTTGTATAATCTACTGGCTGTATAACATAGTTGTAGTTGATAATAGTTGCTTTCCAGTGTTTAATAATGTTCTAGTGTCTTGTCTATGTATTCTTCTCTTTATTGTTCGTCAGTGCCCGCTCCCCTCTGCAATGCTGTAAAGCCCTGAGGGTACAATAAATGAAATGAAATGAAAAAGGTGGGCAGAAAGCTAGAAAAACGTCCCTAGGAACGCAAGCTTGAAAGTTTACATTTCCGTGGACGTTTGCTGGTCGGCATACCCTCCAGCCAGACTTCGCTACTATGAAAAAAATGTGGTGCTGTGTGTCGCAAAACAGTAGAGTAACTGTGAGCAACAGTTGCACTTTTGTTTTTGTGTGCTGCTTCGTCACTGTTCATCAAGTGCAGCCACGCAGAAATCCAAACTGCTGCAGAGAAGCCAACTTGTCAATAGCTCATTTCTGAACTCGCTGTATGCGGGCCTTGCCAACCTGTGGGTTGATCACGTGCTGCTGATACGGCGCTGCAACTTCTCCAAGTGCACTGATAAAGCATGTTCTGGTCTAGGCGGCATTCAACTTGGCATTTTTCACTCTTTTGACACACTCTTGCGTTTATTAGCCATTTTTAGTTCGTCCAGTATATGAAATACCGGGTTTCCAGGTGCTGGTATCGACATGTGATGCTTTGCAACAAAAACAATTATAGGCAGGTTTGTTTGTTCTACCTATTGTCCTCAAGAAAAATGATGTTTGAAGAAGTAACTCATTTTGTAATTGACCGCTGCCAAAAATTTATAGCAGATAAGTAGAATGCACTAGATTTCTACAGTAACAATTCTATGTTTGCCTGGTTCATCTCAGCCCCGCCAGGCGGCATTACCTATCCGGCCTGTCACATTTGCATTTATGGTATTTGATGTGACGCTAATGCAAAGAAGTTATCATAAATGTTACAGTGGACATATAGTGGGTAACTTGCATGAGCTGTGCCGGACAATGGACAAGCCTAGACACTAAGGTGCTTCGCCTCTAAAAAAAGAAGAATCAGGAGGGTGCGTCGCTGCACAATCCCGAAGCCTATAGTCAGATGTAACTTGAGAAGTCCATGGCACTTCCTGCTCAAAGGCAGATGTATACAAGCCTGCAACAACGGCCGCACTCTTAAGATTAGCATCATGAGCAGGACTGCCGGTGACCTCGCCTTTGAAGAACATCGCCGAGCGAGACTATTGCTTTAGTCACAAGGCGATTGGCTGCTGTGCTTTGATCATCTGAGCAGGGCCTTTCCAGACTTTTTAAGCTCTATCTGATTATAGTCATAAAAAAACAAGGTTTATTCTTCTGTCATAACAATCGGCATAACATGAAAATACTAAAACATGCCCTTGCAGAGTAATTGCATGCTTACTGCACAATTATATAAGAAAGCTTTCACAGTGTCTATTGGTGTTTAGCAGCAATAGCAACGTTTAATGAAGATGCACTGATGTTGATGCTTGGTGGTACATCTCTATCCTGATTACCAATGTCCACGATCGATGCATAGACAAACCATTGTGGTAGCTGTAGATGTAAAAACCGAGAGTGAAATCAGAAAAAAAGGCATAACAGCCAGAAGAGTGTCACATATTGGATGCAGAACTTCGGCTAAGGTCATCTCGTGGTTTGTTGGAAAGTTGCTGAACACCCCAGCCGGTGTAAAGGGAAACGCTAAGGGCAGCGAACGTATGCAAAGAACGCGGTATTACAGCCAGGTGAGGTGATCGTGTCTTGCAGAGCTATTAGACAAATTTAGTTATGCATCCGCAGCAGCTCTATGAGTGCAGCCTGCCAGATATTTTCTTTTTAGGCTGCGTCTGCAAAAGCTGTTGTGGACGCTCAGCTAGTTCAAATAAACACTATACAAGTGAGGCTGACGCTTCTGCTAAGGTCATCACGAGGCGATGTATTAAGGCATTGACAAAATTCCATTTATAAGCGCGATAAATGGGACAGATGCGTAGCAACACACGTTGCAGGTGCTAATTGCAGAAGCCACACTAATGATGAATTATTTTACTGCACTGTTCTCAGACACCCACACCACCCCCTGACCATGAGCACTGTAAGAGGGAAGTGTGAGATATAAAAAGTACATATGTAAAGCTGCTAGAGTGCTTGGCCACGGTGCAATGAATGACGTGCTCGATATCTGTTGCTGTGGACTGAGAGGTCGCTGGCGCGATGCCATCTGACGGAACATTTTTTTTAAGGGCGAAGATTTTAAAGGCGTAGGTCGGTCGTCACCTGTATGTATGCATGTATGTTGAGACCACCTCACAGCACATCCACCGAGTGAATGATGATCAATGGGGCGAAGCCTCGGAGAGTTTTATCATTGGACCGTGCATCATCTGCTGGCCGCGTCCCGTTTATCCTCTGTCTATCTGTTTGATGCACAGACGGATGCACAAACAAACACAGAGACAGACGGAAACAAGCAAGAACGAATGGCCAAACAGAAGCACGGATGGACTGCCAGACGCTTCGTCCCACTCATCGTTCACTCCGTGAATATGCTGTGATTTTTTTTTACCTTCTGACTGTGCACATTTTTATGGTGTCATTTCCATGACAGAAATACGACAATGAATTTGTGGTGAACCGAGGCATAAATGTTAACAATTTACAAGAGGTGATAGGCAACCAATACTACTGGTTGGCTCGGGTTGATTGCCTTTACTGTGGGCACGCCTGCAGGGGCCTAATCCTACCAAGGAGGCAGTGCACATCGGTCTGGTGGGCCAGCATTAGAGGAACTTGCCTTGTTGAAACTAGTGGATTCACATGAGACTTTCTCCTGAATTCTTTTCCCTTCCTCCATGCTCCTAAAGGAGCCATGTACTGTAACACTAGGGAAAAAGGCCCATTGCAGAAAATTCTACCATGCACACACAGTACAAAGTAATGCAATGAGAAACTGTGTAGCATGCTTAGTAGTTGGCTCATACTGAAGATGAGAAAGTAACGTTCCGCACAAAATAAATGGTGCATGGCAGTGACAGTATGCAGTCCCCCCCCCTCCCACAGTGTTATTCATTATATTAAAAATTAAAAAGCACCATGAATAAGCTAATATATGATATATAGCAGATACAATCACAGGCTCTACTCGAAAGTCAAAAAAGAAAGGATTTTTTTTTTTCAGCAAGCTGTAATTCATGACTAAACACACACATCTAGAGAAATATATACATTTGCTCAGAGCACAGGTTGATCATGTACAGTATCTAAAAAAGTCACAGTTTCGCTAAAGGGGTGGAGCAATGAATGCAATAGCAACATATTCAAATGTTTTACGAAGCAAGGCTAGCAGTTTTAGAAGCAATATTAATTGTAGTAAACATGCACTTGCTGAATAACCAAGTTTCCTGTGGCGCGGTAGATGACCACAACAAGGCTGGTGCGAAGTGACGGCGTTGATGAGAAGAGCCTCCCGTGGGCAACGCATGCTGGTCGTGTGTCATGTGTCGCCGCTGGTGGCAGTTTGTTATATGTATAGAGCACATCTATATGTAGATGGCCGCTCAAGGAATGTTTTTGGAATCGTTTTTTCGTGTTGAGAGCGCAGCCCGTAGAAGCAATCATATGGGCCCCTCCCTCCTCCCTGTTCACTCACGAGATAAGTACACGCGCAGACGAGCCCGGCATATTCTATGCCACTCTAGCCCGGCCGGAAAGGTGATGTTCGCACCGCAGAAATATGAGGCTAGCGCATCCTTCTTCGTATAAACGTATACGTGGACGACGGCGGCGATGGCAAAAACCAGCCGAGACTGTCCATATCATTGCTATCGCAATAATTACACTAAACAAGAAAAAAAGATTGAGAGACTGTGAAAGGAACAATGATGGAGATAACACAAAATGATAAAAAAACAGAAGATTGTATCACACGCAGAAATCCTGTCGCATGCATTTAGCAACAAGATCTTGGGGTTTGATGCGCCAGAATCGCTGCAAATTATCAGGCGTATGTGCGTGAATAAATAAATACAAATAACACGCATAGAGGCAATTGGCGCAAGAAAGGTTGCTGCACTTTAAACCACGATTGGGCCCGACTATGGACGAAATGGATAATTTGCAAAATAGTGAGCGTTCCCTTGCACATCTTTTAAAAACGCCTGTTTTTTGCAGGAATGTTTTCCTACCAACCTCTTGTTCCCAGACTATTAGGAAGGTTTAGAATAACGTTCGCAAGCGTTGCGGGCATTGCTTTAGTTACAGGCACCATACGAGTTTTAGGGCTTTAGAATAGTGTTTGCACCACCTAAGGAAAAGTCTATGGACTTTTGCTCCGACCGCAAACCCAAATGCACGGAAGCTACACACAGCCCTTTACAAGCCTCGGGAGCCGCGATCGCTGCACGCTATTTCAGAATTTCTGTAGGCGGGCCGCAAGCAGAAATGGCAGCTCTTGTTATGACGCCTGCGCAGTGGAAGCAGGGAGGTTTAGAATAGCGCAGAGCAAGCGAGTGCGGCCTGCAAAGCGCTGCATGTCAGGTCCACTTGTTTCACCTGCACTTCGGCATTCGTTTCACGAGTTCAACATGGCGGCTGCGCACCGCAGTATTTGTTTCGAGAAAGTGCAGCTGTCGTGCAAAGCTAGTTCACGAATTCCCCGCACCTGCTCGTGAGGTAGTGCAGAGTCCGTGCAGTGGAGCACAAGATAGCTGCAGCAGACGACAAAGCCGATTGCGTTCGTGTCTGTTTTTGCGCTGTGCAACAAGTACGACAGTGAACATTTTCAGGTAGACACATGCCAAGCAATGTAAGCGGCGCCACCTTTTACGAATCACAGCCTCCACAGACCTCAAGACAACCGATGTGTAGCATAGGGCTTGCACATCTGCACTTTCGTATTCGTTTCCGCGTCTCTTTTCTGCTGCACTTGCTGAAACGTCACCTGCACGAAGACAACACCCAGACGGCACCATTGTGAACTAGTTCTGGAAGTGCAGGGTGAATCAAATGGACCTGTAGCTTCTGCATAGAGACCACGGAGGAAGGAAAGAGACTATGTTTCTATGAATTTGGGGTTGTGGTGGTGGGGGGGGGGGGGGGCTAACGTTTATAGACTTTTCTCTAGGGGTAGCAAACGCAATTCTAAAACTCGTAAGACGCCCAAAACTGAAGCAATGTCCGCAGCGCCTGCCAACGGTGTTGCGGGCGTTTTTTTTTTTGTTTTTTTTTAGTCGCGGGCATTTTTTTAAATTGCGGGCGCTATATGAGTTTTAAAATAGCGTCTGCCATGCGTCTGCTCCCCAACGCTCCCCCCAGGGAAAAGTCTAGAGACTTTTGCCCCAACCGAAATGCACGGAAGCTACACACAGCACTTCGCGGGCCGCGATCGCCGCACGCTATTTTGGATTTTCTGCGGGCGGGCCGCGAACGGCGGCTCGCGTTAAACGCATGCGCAGTGACAGCGACTGCACCGCAAGGACTTGCGGTGCGCTATGCTAAAGCTCCCTAACGCGAAAAGAACGGGAAAAACAAAACAAAGGAAAGGCAGGAGTTAAGGGTGAATGGCAAAAATAGTTTACCTGCCAGCCTGTGGTCGAGGCTATCTGGTGAAAAATATGGAGCTCCTTTCAACTTTACTTTTTGCGGCTACTGTACAACTATCGGGCTGCCACCAAACGCGTATTTAGCATCCCGATAGTTATAGCGCGAGAACCAAAACGACGACACAGAGACAAGAAGGACACGAAAGACACGAGCGCTCGTATCTTTTGTGTCCTTCTTGTCTCTGTGTCGTCGTTTTGGTTCTCGCGCTATAACTATCGTCATGCAATACCAACTAGCCCAAGCTGCCACGCGTACTTAGCATTCATCTTTTGCTAAACGATTGTTGCTTAAAGTGAGTTTACATACTTTCGTGCCACATACTTGCCTAAAATGAGAAGGGCGTGTAAAAACAATATCCCGTAACGACCATTGGGCGCCAGATAGGACACGCAGAAGCAGGTGTTAGCCAGCTGAAACAACACGTGTTGCGGTTGTTTCCAAACATCACATGTTGTGTCTCCGAAAAATCCCGGGAGGGAAATGTTGCGCATGGTGTAGGTCTGGCTGGTTGCATTGGATATCATGACCGTCTTCGCCAACGATGAACGGGCGAACTGCATAGAAGCATAAGAACCGACGAAGCATTGGAACACCTATGAGAACTGAAATAACGTCCGCTTTCCGAAAGAATTAGCGCATTGACGCGATGTTGTCGCGAAGAAAAAATAAAGCTCAATCTCAAAAAGAATAAAAATTCTACACTGCTTTAAGAGCCACCAGTGAGGTTCGAACTCACGACCCCTGGTTTACGAGACCAGTGCTCTAACCACTGAGCTATGGTGGCGACCACAAGAACACAGCCTAAATATCTTTAAGTTGATTCATCAAATTTCGAGTGCGCATTGACATGCGTGCGCTTGAGTTTACATCTGACTTTGCCGTTCGAACACGTACTTTTCAACGCAAGCACCACACTCAGTTTGCATGCCGTCGTACCACCGACCACGCTACGCCCGCGACGTGAGAAACTAAGCGGTAGGTGGTTTACGAATAATGATGCTGTTCGTGCACTCAGAAACAGTAGTGTAGCTTTCAGCGCATTTTACTCTGTTGATAATGCGTCGCACAATATAAAAGTCTAAATTAACACGTCTGTTTCTCTTTTTGTTCGTTTTGCTCCTGCCCCTTTTAGCTTTTTTGCAATGTGCCTTACACAGCTTGTGCGCAACCCAGTAAGATAATTCTTTTTTTTTTTTTTGCTTGTTTTACGAAATCAAATAGATGAATAACTGTAAGTCAATATAACGCACAGTCGTCGCAGTAGGGTACCAGGAATGAAAGCAGGAGAAACACGGGAAAGGTTATTGCGAGAGCGAATTCGTTAAGGGAATCCCAAGGGGATATTTCAATGCAAGAATGAGCAACGAACCAACCTTATGAGCAGTAAATCCATTCATTCAGTTGCAATGCCAGGCACCTCATCCTTGCGAAGTACAGTTATTCGGGACAAGTAACAACCAAAACATATGTTCGCACATGGCGACCTTGCAAACACCGATGAGCTCATACACATCGATCTTCCCTGCATTACGTAGCCAGCTCGTAAAACTAAACTTTATATGATCACGAACCTTTACAGCTTGAGTCCTTATTTCAGTGCGCTATTTTAACAACACTTGATCTCTCTCTTTTTTAATTAAACAACTATTATCAATGCGGCGTAACACTAGCGCTACGTATATGCAGCGGTGAGAAACGTTAGTTGTTGAATAACACGCCTGAGATCGGCAACCAGCCCATATAAAGCTATGCCTAATGACGAATCGCCAAAACTGTGAGACAACACGCTTTCGCGCCCCAGCGTGAGGCGGCAGCACAATGCTTACTTTTGCTTCAGTAAAAAAAAAAAAGGCATTGTGGCAAGCATTCACAAATCACATTCGGTAGGCATTCACCAACCATGAACGCAAATCTGCCAATAACCCCAAGAGGAAGGCTGCACCTTGCCGGTAGTCACATCAAGTTACGTACGAAGCAGAAACCTGGAGGCTTACAAAGAGACAAGGACGACAAAGAAACAAGAAGGATTGATATGTGGGGTTTAACGTCCTAAAACCACGTGATTATGAGAGACGCTGTAGTGGAGGGCTCCGGAAATCTCGACCACTTGGAGTTCTTTAACGTGCACCCAAATCTGAGCACACGGGTCTACAACATTTTCGCCTCCATCGGAAATGCAGCCGCCGCAGCAGGGATTCGATCCCGCGTCCTGCGGGTCAGCAGCCGAGTACCTTAGCCACTAGACCACCGTGGTGGCACAAAAAACAAAGACACAAGCGCTCGTGTCCTTCTTGTCACTTGGTGGTCCTGTTCTCGCGCTATAACTATATCGTCATGTCATAACAACTAGCCCAAACTGCCACACTTCTAACTTACAAAGAGGGTTCAGCTTAAATTGAGGACAACACAGCGAGCCATGGAAAGGAAAATGATCGGTTAAAAGAAGAGAGCAGAGTGGGTCAGTGAACAAACCAGGGTGAAGAATATCCAAGCTGAAATCAAAAAGAAGAAATGGACATGGGCCGGGCCCGTGTCCAGAAAGCTAGGCGAGACCAGAAAGCTAGGTGGGCCGACGAGTTTAAAATGTTCGACAACGAAAACCACAAGACCGTGTTGATTGGCGGACCATGGGAGAGGCATTTGTCCTACAATGGGCGTAGTCAGGCTGATGATAATTTTTTTCTGAGCCAACAAAGGTATTCGACTAAAACGCCATGTTCATGCACAAATTGAATAGCAAGTTATGCTTTCCTGATCAATCTTGAACACGCGTCTTACGGTCTTGGCAAACGTTAATCTTGGCATCTGCAACTAGGCTGTTTAGCAGCGTCATCTTCTCCACCTGACTCGTTTTGCAGCTCGAAGCGGCGTCGAAATGAGCTGTTGTGACAGGGTGCGGTGATTTCATAGTTGGTTCTGAAGGTGTGGTCGCATCAGCGATGTTTACACGCATGCGCAGCTGATCTGAAATCTGACATGGCGGATGATCCGCAGGTCGCCAGTCCAGTAAGAAATACCTCCGGTGAGTAATGATTTTCTGATGATACTTGAAAACGTCATCTTCACGCAGCGAGTATTCGTAAGTGTGAAGTGTGCAGCGTATTCTACGCGAATGTCTTGTCGTTCTGTGCTGAAGAAGGGCGTCTTTTGTTAACCCTAAAGAAATCGGCGATGATATTTCATTCAGGGTGTAAATTGCTGTGTCAAATGATCGGCCCGTCGATAGATTGTGCTGCTACAAAGCATTCCGAAAGACACAGGTAAACGTCGAAAGCTCTTTAAGTTCTCCGGTAAGCTTGTAACTCTTGTGTGCTGTGCTTGCTAGTGTGTGTCTTCTTAATCGCCGATGTCAGTGCGAAAGCATTTTAACGAGTAAGTCGTCGCGAGTGACAGCCTAGATCGCTCCAGCTATCGCAAGTGCCGACCGACAATATTGTGACGCCGTACTGTGTCGAGCAGCGTAGTAGTTTGGTGTCCTCGTTGCTTGTTGTGGCTTTGCTAGCTTCTGTAAATGCTGGGCCAGCGCCGCCCTCACCTGGCCCGGAATGCGCGTACGTTCTGTTCCGCCTCGCACGCCTTGATCTCTTGAGGTAGCAAAATGGTGCGAGTCTTTTATCAAGCGTGAATTGTTTATGATGGTGCGAGTCGCGGCATTAGTCATGGACTAAGATACGACGCCCGCCAGCGTCTTTCATTGCGTTTCTCCGTCTTTTGGCTCCGAATGGATCCCAAGAATCGACGTTCGGGCAAGCTGGACCTAAAGTGTGTGGGCAGTGCAAAGAAAAAAAAAAAAAAACCTCGACGCGTGACGCTCTGGACGATGATTGCGGCGGCATTGACACAGACGGTCAGGCGCTAATTCAAGCATTATTTTTCGTAGCGGTACCTTCTTTCCCTTTGCTAGTTTCGTACGTCGTTCCTCCTTGCCACCTGATTTGTTTGCTGTTCCAAGTCTTATGTTTGATGCATCCTCCTGAAGTGTGTTTCCGAAATTGTGGATTGCATTTTCGGGTGCCTGTTAGCATTCAATTATAATTGATTTTTTCTCATCAGATTAGTGCAAAGCGTGCTGCTTCTGAATGTATTAAAAACCACTACAGTGTGGTCTACATACTGAGAGAATCGGCTCTCAGACATTTGTTCCGCTAAACAATTCAGACGCACTATGCAAACCGCAGCACAAATACAGTCAGAAGCATTACAGTATGTATGAGAAATTTCGAAAAGTACTGACATAAATTTTACGTTTTTTTTTTATTGAAGTGATTCACTAAAATCCACTTATCACGGCTGTAAACTGATTGCTCGAGCGTGCAACTGTTAATTAGTCGGAGACATTTTTGTAGCGCTCAGTTTTGGTTTCCGAGAGAGGCAGAACCGTCAGGGGAAGGCGCACGAAACCACGGTGACGGCACCTTTCAAGCAAGGCTTCCTGATACCAACCAAGACTCCCCCCCCCCAAAAAAAAAGCACTGCCCAGACGTAGACAGCAGACATTGTAGTATGCCCAGGCAAGGCCACCAAAAGTGATTTCAAAAGTTCTGCTCGGAGAGAGGGCGCTGGCAATAATCATAGCAGCCAACACTAACCCGTAATGCTAGCTGACAGTTCATTCTAAAAGGTAGAGCGTGCAAACACCGGCGCAGAAAGAAGTTCAGACAGCGCAAATGCCGTCTACGCAAGATGTGCACACAGACTGAAAGGAAAGAATCTGCCCATGCAGTAAGTGAATCTTATCAATTTGACAGGCGTGGTGTTCCGCAACACCACGGGAGAAATAGCTGTAATAAAAGCATTTCTCGGAATGAATGCTTGCCGACTAGCTCAGCCCTCTGTTATTCTGCGTTCACAGTTAACCTTAAAACTTGAGTTAGTGTTGATGCCATGAAGTGTGCATTTTGGATGGAGGCGAAAATGTTTGAAGGCCGTGTGCTTAGACGCACGCAGGTAGTCGAAATTTCTGTAGCCCTCCACTAATAGGCACTGTGCCGTGTTTCCTTATCGCAGACAGAAATTCAAGAACCAGCACATTAATTCAAGAACCAGCACATTAAGAGGCGTCTCTTGTAACCATATTGTGCTTTTGGGACGTTAAGCCCTAACAATTATGATCCCGCGTGGCGGTGCGTTCCGCGTGCAGTAGCGTGACACTCATTAAGATTGATTTTAGGTATTTTCTGGGCTACATTAGCCGTTGATATTTTGTAGGCGGTGCAATCCATGCTAAAAGTAATCTCGTATTCAAAATTTTTGTATTAGCACTCCTTGAAATGTTGTATTTGCATTGGTGCTTTTGACAGTGCACTTGCAGATGACATGGTTTTTGTTGAGCGAAAGGAATACTAATGCTTAGCCAACGTCGTTGCAGCAACATAGATGGCGCTAAGGGTGATGTGTCAACTCGCTGTGATAAAAAAGGTCGGCCCATATATTTCGTGAAACTTACCTGCCTCAGTGATCACCTTTTCTTAGCAATGAAGGGAAGGCTACAGAGTCATAGTGGGTGTGTGCCACTGCTGAAGAATATAGTCCCACAATTGTGTCAGTGTTTCCCGCATCGAAATTTTGAAAAGAAGAAAATATTACTTCAATTTGTACGGGATGTTGTTTATAAGGAGGTGCATAACGCACCAGGAAGGTGTTCGTAGTTGTTTTACTTTATGCAGTGTCGTTTCACGTTTCTGCACAAATGAAAAAGTCACATGTTTTAGGGGCCAAGTTCTGCTTATGCTTAGCCCACTCCTGCGACTAGCAGAATTCGCGCGACCATTTGCGACTGGTCGCTTCCATTTGGCTAGTCGCTTCCTGACCGATTTTTCAGCCGCGTGACTGCAGTTGCCAAGCTGCTGGAACCAATCAGCGATGCCCAGAAGTGACACCAGCATTTCTTTATATGCAGGCTTGCTTTTTGTTTTGTTTTTTCATTATGCTGTCCTCCTGCCGCTAGATACAAACGAGAGCGTTCCTCTGGGTCTGTGATACCATGGCCACCACGGAATACTTGACTTGGAGATGGCGGGGCGCAGCAACTTGAGTGTGTCTTGAACTTGACATGTCGCCTTCAATGCAGCGCATTTGAAACGCGTTTGTGCTTCATGCCTTGGCACCGACTAAAAACGCCACGTTCTAAAAGTGTTTGTGTTGCATTTGAGGCTGTGGCAAGTCAAGTTAAAGTCAAGGAGCGTTTCTGAATACATACAACTCTCGGAAATACTCGTTGTCTCAGCGCAGCTCGGGAGGTAGACGGCTTGCATGGCCGGTCTTGCGAGCGAAGGGAGGGTCACACCCACCATCGGCTTTTTTTTTTCCTTCTTTGGAGCCATCTGTGCTGCCAGCGACCATGGCGTAGCACATCAGCACCATGACAATCTCTTGTTCTTTGCTTGAATCGAACTACTTGACACTGCTGCGAACGCTATGCGAGAACGGACAAAAACAATAAATGCGGCACGCTCGGTTTGCTTCGTTCATTCAGCTGGCGGCGATCAGCTGATAGGCGCCGGCCTTCAGAGTTCTCGCTGATGGCGAGATCCGCATGCGACTCTCCGGTTTTGCGACTTCCGGTTGCTCGTATGCAGCCTCTGCTGGTGTGAACATCCGTCGTTTCTTCGCCGCCAGTCACAAATGGTCGCGCGACCGCTGTTAATCGCTGGTGTGCACCAGCCTTTAGTCTAACCTTGTCGTGCGTCGGGCGTAACCGGCAGAAGAAGTAAACGAGAAAAAAGGAATGCAGTAACTACCGAACAGTGTAATAGATGGCACTGTCTCACAAAAGTACATTCAAAGTTCAGTTGAGTGAGGATATTCTAGATGGGGCTGCACCACTATTCTCCGATCGGCTGCGGCGCGTGCTGTGCTTGGGTGCACGGGGAACAAGCGCCTTTCTCATGGCGAATTTCATTGAGAGAAGAGAAATAGAGGGCCTGGGCAGTGAGGAGTGGGAGGCAGAGCACTGAGTGCAGGGCCACTTGATCAGCCACTGGAATGTGGCACGCTCCCAGAGAGCAGATGAGAAGGTGACAAGTGGGGAGACCATGTGAACAAAACATTCCAAGCCTTGGCATATTCTCTGTGGGGCAGCAGTAAAATACACATGAAATCGGTCAGCCACTTGTTCTTCGTTATCCCAATACATAATATGTTTGTACAATGACACATTTGGCAGACGTCCAACTCTCATCGTCGCCACCAGTACAAAACAGCAGAACAGTGGTTTTAAACATTACATGGTTGCTACCATTGTTGCCGCGCTCACCGGCTGAAGAAAAATTAGGACTGTGGCGTTAAAAGGCCACGTGGCTCGTCGTACTGCACCTACTCCACTTTTCAGACGAGAGCACTGCAAACTGCACTTGGCTGCTCTTGGCGCAGCAAAAGCACTCTCGCTTTACCAATGGATGACAGTGCTCCTGTACCTGTTCAACCACTGAAACCCGCCGGCTCTGAAGAGAGCTCTTTCAGCGTGCTTCTGAGTTCTCTTGCTCTCCCAGTGGAATTCGCCATCTGTCTCCTGGTCTTGGATTGTTGCCGTACGTGGCGGAACGTTGATGAGGTATGGACGAAGCAGAGCGGCGGGCACGGAGCGCCACGGTGGCTTGTGCTCGTCGCCTTGTTGGTGGGGCATGGATAAAGCGGAGGGGTGCGGCGGCTTGTGCTCGGCACCAGAAAAACAAAAGTACACACAAACAGGCAGTCAGGTGGACGGACGGACGCTTCACCCCACTCATCATCATTCACTCCATGGATACGCTGCAATTTTTTAGATGCACCTAACGGTCGTCTTCAGGAGAGCGCCCAGGCCTTCCAGCTTTTCCAACAACTAGTTGAAGGAGCTTGTGTCGAATTGCACTCACAAATGTTTGTCTAAGAAGATCTAGCATATAGTGTATGCAATGCTATGAAACACGGCTTTCATTCTAAATGCGAGCTGAACCGGACTATTTCGCAGAAGAGCACATGGGCAGTAGCTCTGCCCCCATAGCTTTCCCTTGATTGCCAAAAAAAAAAAAAACCCGCAACTAT